AAACGGACGCGTCTCCAAGATGGCGGGGCTATTAATGGAAGCCAAGCTAGGGAAAAAATGGCAGAGAAAGGTATGGTGGACGAGGAAGAGCGCGTTGAGGAGGAAATTGAAGGACCATCAAAGAGGCGTCGGATGGGTTTACGGCTCTGTGGCATCTGCCGCAAGACTGGCCATAATGCAAGGACATGCTCGGAGGCTGGAGAAATAGATAGCTTAAGCGATTCTGAGTAGTTTCAATTGATTGCATCAGATTCTGGTGGACTTTTGGCAGTTTGTAGTGGCATAGTCCGGAAAATGTGTCCGACTCAATGGGGTGTCCGAGTCAATGGTGAATCACGTTAATTGAAGATTGAAGTTGTAGGAGGTGTAAATTTTGGTCAATTCAGGGCTGTTAGTAGACCCTTATACAACAGCGTATTCCACGGCATCCGACATCCTCCAAGGTTCGGATCATTACACTTCATTCGGGCTCAACTTGCCTTCTGGGCGGTGGATTGCCAGCTCTGGGCTCCAAGGGCTCATGTGCAGTTCAACAAGCCCTTTGTGCTGTAAATTACTATTGCGTTGGGGCGGGTCATTGAACACGGGCACCTGACTGGCCCTGGCACTCCAGCGGCCGGTGTGCAAGAAGATGAGGAGGAAGAGAAGAAAAGGGTTACGGTGCCTCTTCCCTTACTGTGTACGCTGTCCCTGTACGTATAAATCTCTTGGCCTGTCTCGCAATACAAGTTGTGGAAGGACAGCCCTTTCTCCCGGATTCTCGCCCAATGCTTCTCTTTGTGGCTCCAACAGGAATAGTTGTCAGATAATGTGAGATCAGGACTCCCATGCCTGCCTATTAATCATCAAAAATCCATTTCTCAAACCCTGACTTCCTCCTGTACACAGTGCATACCAACCTCAAATGGTCAAAAGCGAGATGTCACTGCAGGCGGTTGTTGCTCCTTGAGACGCTCAGGGGTTCGGATTTATTGATCATGTGATGGCTAAGCTGTTTGTCCTCACTGGTTCCTCGTGGCCTGGAAATCGTCGGCGTAAAAGTACAGGTACGGCAAATTGCTCGGGTTCACGAAGCGGACTTCCAACGACCCGGCACCGGTCTCGTCCGTCGTGAACTGGATGCCCGAGGTGACGCGGGTAAAGGCGGCGCCGCTGGTGCACCCTTTGGCTGTGCCGATCTTGGCACCCTTGTAGTACACTTCGATGCTCGTGGTCGTGTCGTAGTTCAGGCAGCGGTACATGAAGGAGAGACTGTACGTCGAGGATGCCTTGGCGGTGAACGACTCCTGGAACAGCGATGCGTAGCCACCGCCAGTGGTGGGCGGGTAGGCGCGAACGACGACCTGACCACCCGCGCAGTAACCACCACTAGCGCAGGGGTTCACGCCGTTGATGACTTCAACCCTGCCGCCAGTGCCGCCGGTGGTCCACGGGAGGATGTTGCCCGTGGTCCGGTAGCCCTCGAAGCCTCCGTTCACGATGGGCTGCGATACGGTCACGGTTGGGGTGGCGTGCTCGGTGATAGTCACGTCGGTAGTGATGGTTGCGGTTGTCGTGACGGTCACCTCGGCAGCCTCGGTGGCGGTGACTATCTCCACGGCCGTCACGGTCGATGTGGTGGAGAAGATGCAGCTGCAGGCGCTGCTGACCCTCGACGCGGCATTGCCACACTGGGCGAGGATCTGGGAAGCCGGATCCGCCGAGGGTTTCTCCTCACGCTTGGCGTAGATCGTTGTGGTGGGACCGGTGCTGAAGTATACGCGTTAGCTGCCATGTCCAAAGCGTGTGTTTGAGTTGTTGTTTGTTGGGGAAAGGGGGAAGAAAGGGGGGGGGCGCAAGTACATGGTGGTGGTCAACGTCGTGAGGGTGACGACGTCGAAACTGGTTTCAGTGATCGTCTGGACCGATGTGACAGTTGCCGTCGCCGTCACGGTTTCCGTCGCGGGTTCGAGGGACAAATAGGACGAGCAAAAGGCCTCGCCGACTCCCAAGACAGCAGCAGCACACTTGCCTCTGCATGGCATGGTGATGCACTTGCCGAAGGTGCCCGCGGCAAAGCCGGCGAGGCAAAGCGCGGGGAGCTTCATGCCAATTGATTAAGGAGTGACTGAAGCTTATGAGAAACTGAACGAGTGGACTGCCAGGGTGATGCGCAATAACCCCACGAGCAAACAGAGGAACGAGCGACAAGACGAGTGAGTGACAAGAACCGCGTTCCTCAGGTTCTCCCGCCGGTTGGCAGGGAAAGGGGAAACCATCTTTATTGAAAAGGGAGATATAGAGTCTGGACCGCATGTTTCGATAGACCATTGTCGAGACCAGCAGGCCAAACCCTGAAGACCGGATCCCGAGTTTGGCGCTATTGAAAAATATGGAGACTGCTAGACCTGCTTGCATGCTTTGGCGTCGGGCATCTCCACTCCTCTCTTTTCAGGTATCGCAGCAGCTGAGACTACAGCACCTTTACGGAGGTACTGTACATACAATACCATCTCTTGAGAACCGGGCCCAAGCGGCGGCGTTAATGCCGTGAAAGCCTGGGTTCAGGTACTTCACGGAGTACATCGCCCTGCTTTGCATGGCAAAAAAGGATTATTTTTGAACCCTAACCTGCACGGCAATGAGCTTAACAAAACTTCCAAGTACCTTTTCTGCCGACAAGGTAACCATGGTCATGGCCATTGGCCACTGCAACTGTTGTGCAACATCCCTACTGATTGACTTGAAGTATTCGGCGCTTGGTATGGTATCGTGGCCGTTACCCCGCTCAAATTCACAATATAGCTCAGCTTCACTCCAACCTTCTTGAGCCTGATGCGCGACATGGCACTCCGAAGCAACTACCTTAGCTGGCAGAGTGTGGTTGCCTCTCACCAATATCGACTTACTGCCACCCTTCTACCCGAGCCGGGGCACGAGGTGGCTTGCAACAAAGTAGCCAACCATCTCACCCTTTCTGTCCACTCTCGAAAGCGAAAATAGCTCCCGCCCTCACCCTCTTCCCGTTGATTCTGGGAGCTTTTCCCCGACCAAGGCGGCCCGGTTTGCCTACCACCACGACTTTCTAGAGCTACACTCATGGTTCCAGTGGAGCATATGGACACGTGGCATACCGTTGCAGCATTAGGTGGCGGCGAACATGGGGAGGCTGTCACAGTGAGCGAGAAGGATCTGATCAACAAGATTCTCTCGAGGTATCCAGGAGGCCTGACGATTCTACGTGAGCTTCTCCAAGACGCCTCAGGTGCCGAAGCAACGACAGTCGCCATCAGGTGAAGAACATGGCCGCTAGCCCAGGAGTTCCAGCCAGCGAAAACATGCCCAGGGGTAGGGTCTTCGGTATCTGATACGCTCCAGAACCTTGTTGCCCAACTTGAGCACCACACCGTACGTGACCTGCAAGTCGAGATTGACGGTCACAGTTTCAATGTCAACCCTGGGAAAGAATAAAGCGCATTGCCTGGGAAATCCGGATGAGACCAAGATTGGTGCCTTCTGCGTCGGCTTCTACAGCTTGTTTGGAGTATGCGGCGAGCTATTGATTATCTCTGGGAGCAAGGCGATGAACTTTTACTGGGAGTATGACGCCCTCTACACTCAAAGGTATCAGTTGGAACCCAAATCGTGCTGCTCAGGGCCAAGATGCTCCTGCGCTACCGAGACGACAAGATTGCCGTGCCAAATCTGCTCTCCCTCGGCAGTTTTCCTGGTCACGACCCTACTGACCGCCACTACACTCCGACAGACTGATCTGTTGGTGGGTGATTGCAAGGTTTTGGCGCGAGGAAGAATCTGTTGTCGATCGGTGATGTCGGGGCGGGCCTCAATATAGAGACACCGCACGAGCCGAGTTTCACCCATATCTCAAACATAAGCCGGAAGGACACTTAAATCGAAGTGACGGCGACGGGGAGACCGAAGATTCCACATGAGTACCCGACAGATGCCGAACCAGGGGACATGTCGCCTACATCAACGTCGGGTGTGTCCCTGCGACAAACTTCAGCAACTTTTTGTTGCATTCGCCCCCCGCGAGATGTCGCCAACGAGCTGGAAAAGGGCAACCAAGAAGCAAGCACCGCGAACAACGAGATTCATGATTCCCGCGCCCCGGTATCGACGGAGCATCCACCCGACTGCGTCAAACTCCCTGACCGAGTCAAACGCCGACATAATCTCGTCCGTGCTCCCTTCGCCTGAACATGGTGGGAGACTGTTTATAGAATCTCCGACATCGCAGTTCAGGGGAGCCGGCGTACACATCTCAGCGCCATCCATGCTTCCCACCGTGGAACGAGAGACCATTGACTTGACCTCCAACGGCGTCTGGCAATGGAACACACGGACGCTGAGAACTGCCGGGATTATTGCCGTGGCTTCCCACAGGGGCGCCATGCTAGACATGGACATAGAGTCAAAAGGGCACTCGCAGCCTGTCTCGCAGGGCAACGAGCTGACGAAGCGCATCAATTCTGAAGCATTCCAGATACTGAGGACACATACGTTTGCTATTTTAACACTCAATGGCCGTGAAGCTGCGACCCTTATCAGCAAAGAGTTCTGGCGCGCTCTGAGAGAGGCACAAAGCATACCGGTGTATTCAAAGCTCGAAGTCCTGCCTATGTCAAAGGTCCGTCTCGGCAGCGACGAGGTCTCTCAGTCCATGAAGGGAATTCCCGTTATTCCACCGTTGATGTGGAATGAGACCTTCATCAAAAATTACTGGATAGTGGCTCCCTCAGACAGATCTCGGTCGAGGATGTGGGACGGAAGTGAAAAGCATACCTTTGAGAGCACGCAAGAACTCTGTGCCTTCAGTTCCTGAGCGGGGAGAGTCGCCAGGCAGAGCTTGTTGCTGCGCTCTGAAATGCAACGGCTTATCATGGATGCGACAGCACTGGATGGCGGATATGGGGACAGCTGCGGTACACATGCACTCAAGAACATCATGCACTAAATCCCTTCCGATTTGGAGATTTTCACCAGCTTACCCGGGCCCGCGACCTGCCTCCCCATCGCCGTCTTTCTCGGGCTCGACCGCATTTGCCTGGCAGCCCTAGGGTGGAAACCCTTGGACCTCACAGGATAGCTGCAGTTCTTGATCTATGTTCCCACTAATGAGCGGAACCTCGCACGATCGCCCAAGGTGGCCCGGCTGGTGCTTGATTCCTTGTCACAGGTGTGGGACGACCTCACAGCGGGCAAGAGGCAGCAAGTGGTACACATGCTCCAGCATGTTCCATCAGTACCAACTAGGCGTGGGTTGAAGAAACCAGACGAAGCCTATTGAGTCCGTCACCCTGTTTCCGGACTTCGCCATTGTGGATTACGACGGCTTGAGTCCTGATGCCCTTTCTAAAATCCTGTTAGCCCCCAAATCCGAAGGACTGTTGAGATTCAAGCAATCATCCAAGCAATCATCGGGAAATTGGCAGCTTCGAAGCTATTCAGGAACAACTACGGCACGTGCAGTTGATCAAGTATCTTGCGCCGAGGAAGGGCGACATCCCCACAAGCGACGTGGGAAGACTCAGGAACGCTTTCAACTTTCCAGCGGAGCCCTCCGCACTGGGAGCATGGCCACTTCGGGGACCACCGTCTCGCTTCAGCATTTGCGAGCTCCTCGAGCCAAACACCCAGATGCGCACGCTGAAGCTTCCCATTTTCCAGTGGGAGCCAACCACCACGTCATCGCCAGCAACGTCGAGCGAGATTTTCCCTCGGCTCTAGGCTTGCGACAGCATCCGTCCGTTGATGAGCTCGTGGATAGGATGGCCGACCCGGATGATGCCCGCCTGCGAGATAATGCCATGTCATACTTTATCAAGTACTTCGACTCTCAAGGATATGCTCCTCTCCAACCGGACCGCATCAACAAGAGGATACTTCCGGTCAAGGGGAAGGACAGTGTGCTAGTGCAACCCTCATCGTGCTGCACCGAGAAGGTTGGCACCTCGCTTGGGTACAGCATCCTGTGGAAGAGACTGCATAGTCATGCGTACAAATTTGGTGATCCCCCATTTCCACCCATACCGGAATGCGTCGACAAGCTCGTCCTGGGTCAACGCCGTTCATTAGACCGCCAGACAGCAGTGATTATGTTTGAGCACTCCACAAATTGCCAATGCGAGTTGAGCAAAAGTCAAGTCTCGGACTTGCGCAACACACCATTAGTTCCCGTCGAAAGACGGAGGCAACCATCATCCCAGGAGGTCGAGAGCGGCCCTGCGGTCATCCGTCACATGTGCCCAGCCGATTGTTACAGAGGCCCCTTGTCTGATTACGCGCTCATCTTCGACTACGTCCGCCGTTTCAAGTATGTGGAAGAGGGGAACAGCTGGGTTGAAGTGTCGGGCATTCTGCCAGAGACCAAGCTGTGGGAGGAGTGGAAGACGCGGGTTCTGGCGGAAGATGGGATCGAGCCGAAGAGGCTGTACAGCATAATCATGGATGCCAACTGGAAGACTGGTAAGGAAGCCGAACTGAAGGGCGAAGGAAGTGACAAGAAGGCCCCGGGCTTGTAGAACTGCTACTTCTTTGAGCCTCAGCAGCGAGAAATGAGATAACCCCATCAAACCAGTTCAGTCCAACCCAATTTCCGACGAGTCGGGAGCCTCAATCAAGGGTGCGCCGAGTTCAAAGTACTCTTCCTGAAGCTCTCTGAAACGATCCCTCACGAGGGTTACACGCCTTGATGTCCCAACGGTGCAAAAGCGGACGAGGCCGAGACTGTGGAGAAAGCATGGCGGTCTTCCCTGGTTTCTGTCTTCATACCATCCTTTTGAGTTGCCCCATGGGCTCTGTCGGGCGGTGAGCCAGTCGAACGCGGGTGAATGGACGCCCGGCTTGCAGAGTTTGATCAGTTACCTAGGTACTTGTCCCGTTGCTGCCCCTCTACTACGCATCGGCGACATCAGACTGCTCAGGGTGTCCGCCGACGCCAAACCATGTGCGTTGTCGCAGGCTGACAGCATGGTAACAAGCCTCCACCTTGGACGCAACAAAAAGCTGACAAAGTTCTCGAGCCCATATGCTCACCGGGGTGCCCGGGTTGACCTGGGTCTTGGTGTTTTCACGTAAGTCCTCACGTGCTGGAAGCCTGGAATTTGCAAGTTTGGTGAACGTGGCCTTTGGCACCCTGGTGGGCCTGGCACCGACCGAGCCAGCTCTTTAACCAGTCAGGTCACCGAGCTGGTAGCTGCGGAGAAGCAGCACGGGCCACCACCATCCCTTTTCACTATCAAGCAAAACAGGAGCCTAAGAAAGTGGAGCTCTCAAGTCCCATGCTTCGACCACGGTTGTCGGATTGTTGTGGCAGCCCGTTGTGGGAACATCTCCAAACCTCAAAATCTCGCTGGAATTGCCCCTGATCCTTCCACGTCGCAAAACCACCCAGGCAGTCACGCATTCAAGCAACCGACGAGACCAGCCCGAATTTCGCTCGCGACGTCCAGCAGACAGCCACAATGGCCGGCCTCAGCCCCCAAATGTAAGGACACAGAAGCCCCAGATGGACCACCACGGCCAAGCACACGCGACCGGTGGCTAACGGTTGCTGTGGGATAGAACGAACCTGATCATTATTCTCGGAATGATGCAGGTCGCCAAGAAGATTCCCTTTGACGATCCGCAAGTGCTCAACCTCTGCCGCGCGGTCTACATTGCCAGCAACCTCATCATTCTGAGCATCTACCTCTACATCAAGACCGTGATCGACAAGAAGAAGGGTATGTTTGAGCCATCCCGGATGCTGTGCCCCATAGGATCGCGCAAGCAGCTTTGCTTCGCAATGTCGTCAACCTCACAAGAACTGACAACTCTCTTCCGGCACAGACATGACCACGCTCAAGTACGTCGAGCCGGCACCCATGGGCTCGAGCGAGGAGGGCAAGCTGGTCACGACGACGGTGCACGCCTACGACGTCGGCCAGCTCAAGAACCTCATGCGCTCGCAGGGCATGGGCGTGCTCATGATGGGCGTCATGCACCTCTACTTCAAGTACACCAACCCGCTGCTCATCCAGAGCATCATCCCGCTCAAGAGCGCCCTCGAGTCGAATCTGGCCAAGATCCACCTCTGGGCTCAGCCCGCCGTCGGTGACCTCAAGAGGCCGTTCAAGCAGGCCGCCGGCTTCATGAGCGGGCTCCAGAGCGGTCCCGCCCAGGCCGACAAGAAGGCGGTCGAGGCGGCTGAGCGGGCTGGTCGTGGCGGTGTCAAGGAGGAGTAGAGAGGAACCGTCTAAGACGGCGGTGGATGTCCGTGTGGGATGTCCGGCTAGGATCTTGTACACTACAGCGCGCGGGTTTCCTGGCGCGTTATGACATGGTAATAGACAGGGGCGTGTGCAGAACGACGAAGAATGGAACAAGTAGGATCGGCCTGAGCTCGGCCGCTTGATTACGCGGAGGGGTTTTCTTTCAGGATTTGAAGTGACAAAACGGTGCAAGCCTTCCAGAGGTTGCTTGCCGAGAAAAGCTGAATTCAAGGCATGCAAGCATCCCGGAGCTCAATGCCGCAGATTCCTCTCATTGGCATCGATTTCTACATTCGAGGCGGTTTTGCCTCCTGTAGTTGCCTGCCGAAAACGCAACGTGATTGGCGGACCCGGTCCTGGATGTGCCGGCAATACAAGCAAGCCTTCAGTGCTTTCAAACTTCGTCATTGTCAATTTGTCTCCCCATCTGAACAGACTAGGAAAACGTAGTACGGAGCGCCTACCACAGTATATCTGGGTTCGACCAAATCCTCTTCGCAAATCAACCTTGCATCAGCCTCCGAAAACAGCATCGCAATGGAGCGCCCGGGAACCCCACCACGACAAGCATCAGCTCTGAGACGACCACCATCCCCGCCCACCCCGGAGGTCACTCGCCGCATGGTGAGTCTGGTGCAACGCTGCTGACCTGGGAAATCTCTCCTGACAATTACGACCGCAGGAAGAGTCTCGCCTACGCGCAAAAGCCACACGCGACCAGCGCGAAGCCGAGCAACCATCATCAACCGGCATCCTCTCAGGGTCCCGAACCGCACCCTCTGGCCTCCTCCCGACAAATGATACCCAGCTCGCCGGCCGCAACGCCTCCGGGAGGAAGCGGCCGTACGCATCCATATCACGAGCCGAAGTGCCCGCAACGAACCGCGATTCATCATCCCGCGCCGCCGCCGGTCCCTCTTCCAACAAAGATGGAGGGGACAAGGAGCTGCGTCCCATGTCACGCAAGTTCAGCAAATATGTCGACTACAACTTCAGCGCCATGACCGACACCAAAGGCGGTTTTTTGAGCGCTGAGGACGACCCATGGAATAAGAGCATGTCTAGTACTACGGGCGGCGGCGGCGCCTCGGGATCCGGAGAGCAAAAGCCGGCGCACATGACGGCCGCCGAGTGGGAGCGGATGCAGCTGATCCGAAAGCTGCAGCGCAACAAGACGGGGCCGTTTGAGCCCTCGCTGAGCGTGCTTGCCGACGAGAAGACACGCAAGCGGTGTCGGGAATGCCGCTCTGTGGAGATTGATTTTGTCTGGGAGGAGGTGTTTGGGTGCGCCGTGTGCAATACCTGCAAGGAGAAATACCCGGAAAAGTATAGCTTGCTTACCAAGACGGAATGCAAGGAGGATTACCTGTTGACAGATCGTGAGTTTGAGCCTCTAGCCTTCCCGCCACTGCGGGAGGGTCTGTCTGGCAGCTGATAATAACCCGTGCCGATACACAGCCGAGCTCAAAGACGAAGAACTCCTCCCGCACCTGAACAAGCCGAATCCACACAAGTCTCACTGGCACGACATGATGCTCTTTCTACGGTACCAAGTCGAGGACTACGCCTTCAACCAAAAGTGGGGCTCGCCCGAAGCATTGGACGTAGAGTTTGAGAAGCGCGAGGCGGACAAGAAGAGGCGCAAGGAGGCCAAGTTCAAGGAGAAGCTTCTGGACCTCAAGCGCAAGACCAGGACGGACGCGTTCAGGCGCAACAATGCAAAGGCGGCGAGTAGTATTAGTGTCGCCGGAGGAGGGATAGGAGGGGGAAAAGCAGTGAAGTTCGGGGATGCTATTGGGGGTACGGGTGGGAGACATGTGCATGAATGGGGTCGGACTGTTGAGAATGAGGCGGGTATGACGGTTAAGACGTGCGTCAGCTGTGGCATGGAGGTCGAGGAGTTGGAACTTTGAAGCTCTTCCTGCTCAGACTCGGAGCTCAACGTTGGGTGGACTCGAGGGCTCGACTACCTATCTTGCTAGCGCCTAGGCCTCGCGCTCACTGGTCATAGAGGGCCACCTATCGACAAACTTGAGTGGTTGGGCACCAAAAGACAAGGAAAAATGAGGTTGTGTAACCCCCCCTTATTATCCAGCCTGGCGCTCCTAACCCAATCGCGGACCATCCCGCAGCCAGCTCTTCTTCCTTGCGCCGCCTCCCAGGTGACGCAGGATGCATGCTGGCGCACGGTGCGGACTCATCGGTGGCAACGAGATTCATTTACCGTTTGTTGACTGCCGACATTGGAAGGGTATTTTCGAGCTTAGGCCTTGGTGGTTTTGTGGAGTCGGCAGTCGTCTTTTACCGGCACACTCATGGATCATTGAGTATCACAGCGGCCATCGTCGGCCTCCTCACGGCGGCAGGCAAAGTTTATGCGCTCCTGGAGATTTTCTCAGCGATTTGACACGCCCCTGCAGTGGTCAAAGATGCGCAGAACGAGGTCCAGCATGTTGAAATCGCCCTGTGTTCGATGCAGATTCCTCCACAACCTTGACGGGTCAAATTCCCGTCGAAGATTGATACTAGTTGACGAGCTCCAAATCATCCTCGCCGATGCGATGCTGGCGTTTTCAGCTTCCGAGACCATGCTCCAATGTCTAACTAGTCTCACGAGAATCCGTGTCGCTGTCTCATAGGTCAAGTTCTCCAAGCAGCTGGACGAACATGGCGCCACCAGCAATCTCTGACGCTCATGATGAGCAACCTGCAGTGGTGAGTAGTATAACATGGCTTTCAATCGACTCACTCTGACAATGCCGTGACAATGCCGAAAGCGAATCGGACGTGGAGGCCTATTCGAGTCAACAGAAGCTGCAGAGCCTGATTGAGAACGTCTTCATCGAGAACACAGAGCTCCGGCAAACCTCGCTGAGGGGCTGAGAAACTGTTCGTCATGCGCAGAGTCAACTCGACATCCAGAAAATCATGAAGATGAGAATACAACGATTCGGCAACGGGACAATGGCAACGACGACGGCTCGACCGTGATGAGCATTGGACGCACTTACTCGATACTGATACCATCAGCCACTTTAGCAACGTCGGCGGTAAACTGGGCGGCGGGTTTATTAGGTTCGCTCTTGAGAAGATGGAGCAGTCACGGGTATGCCGCAGGAATGCGAATCAGGGGGAGTGTGACCGCTCTTACACCAGCACCGTGCAACCATCGCACGTCTGGCCGGCATTTGAGGGTTACAGCCTGGCGGACGTCTCTGTCCTGTCCGTTATCGCCATGCCTTCAACGACTCTTGATTTTGAGAATGGGAGTCACTGCCCCATCCGCCCCCAGGACGGATCCTCGATGGGACCACAGGACCGTCGCAGAGGCGCGGCAATCAATATTAGTAGCACAGACTACTGCGCGAATGAGTTAGCTGAGTGGGTGACGGGAAACCCGGTCCCGACAAATCGTAGTCCGGGTGGACAGCCGGTGATCACGATGGAAACTGACGAATTCTCACAAAGGTTCATTGCTGCGCTGGGAAAGATCGAGGAAGACGCATAATCGTCAACTGTGGAAGGGGCACTTTGAAGCGTCCGAGGGGTGCGAGGAAGGGCGAGAGGCAGGCGACGAGAAGCAGGCGACGGGACGCAGGAGAGTTGGGGGAAGAGGCGACGCCGGTGTGGCGACGGAATCGGAGGCAGAATGGTCATTGTGCGGGCTGGCTTCTGACAAAGTGCGAAAAAGCCGGTTTAGGCGTTGGATAGAGTTGTAACGGCCTCATGCAGTAGGTATAATACACCAACCTGATATGGAACGACGGCACGGGTACTCTAAGCTTGAAGCCCAGAGAAGCAGAGGCGAGAGACTCTCTCGTACTGTCACTGCCGCCACGATTTCCTCAGCCCGCTGTCTCTCCGATAGATCCCTGCCATTGAGATACTGTCGCAGTTCGTAGAATCGAATGAAGTTCAGTGAATTACTGTAATGCTCCAGAACTCTTGAAGATGAATATCCATAATTTTATTCTGGAGCAGCGCAGCTGGGGTTGCTAAAGCGGCCTGAGATCTCGATCAAGGAGGCGCTTGGACGAAATCATTTGGTAAACACCTCGGGCCAGCGGCGGGCTGTGATTCGATGTCCAGCCGGTCATTTGTGGGGCCGCTGGCCAAGCTCCCCGGCCAGGGGTTGTCGCTTTCGGCCAGCATCACGCAGTCGAGCAGCTAGCACTGCCGCCCTGCTGCAGATTGATCTGGCAAGACAAAAAATATTCCTGCAGATGCTATCGACCCAGCGAAGTTCCACAGCCTCCAGTTCTCGATTTCATCGTCTTACGACATCGCCGTGCTGCGCGTCTCCTTCATCTTCCGACTTATTCAGGCAGTTGGGACCTGCCGAAGCTGCCAAGGGCATTTGTTGTCTGAACGACGAGATCGACAATTGAGCCCTCCAGAGCTCTTCCCACAGCCCATCCCGTCGCCGCGCGTCGGGCTGTCTTAAGCCAAGTCCAACCGTCGTGAGACTTGCAACGTCCAAGCTCGCCCGCGGCGACCGCCATGGGCACAAACGGAGGGGGCGGGCTAGGCGAAAGTGCCGGCATGATGGGGAGCAGTGCCAATCAACCGCCAGTGACCGAGTATACCCTTCAAGGTTGGTAACAGGAACTCACGCCGGAAAGAAGGGGCATTTGTTTCTGACATGGCGCGCACACAGGTGTCATGCGGTTCCTACAGACAGAATGGCACCGCCACGAACGCGACCGGAACGCCTGGGAGATCGAGAAGCAGGAGATGAAGAGCAGGATAGCCAACCTCGAAGGACAAGCACGGAGGGCCGATGCGACACAAAAAGCGCTGAAGAAATATGTCACGATACTCGAAAAGAAGGTCAAGGACCAGGCTGCCATGTTGAAAGCCGAAAACAAGACGGCCGACACTGAGCCTAAGGTCGATCGTGCTTCGCTGCTTCAAGAGAAGCTCCGCCGTGAGTGTCCTGCGGCAAACAATACCGCGGTCTGGCTTGGGGTAATCATTGCAAAGCTAATCTGGGCACGAACATGCAGCGTCACTCGACAAACCCAGTGCTCCCTCGATGGACCCGGGCTCGCTCGAGGCCGGTCTTGCCGACGAAGAAGCCTCGCGCAATGAGTTGAAGTCGTTCCTTGACCAATGCCAAGCCGAGTTCACCTACTTGATGATCACCCCCGCGAATCCAATCCCCCCAAGAGAATCCCCACCACTACCGGTAATTGAAGACCTGCGGGAAGGCGATGCATATGGCCAGTCGCTGTTGGATCAATCCTACCAACAGGGGCTGCGGCAACAACAGCAGCAGCAAAACCATGTCCGCGAGCATCTCGCTGCGCAGGCGCAGTCTCGGCCAGCTCCAGCTCCCAATGCGCAGACGGCAGCCCCGCCAGCCTCCGGCAACTTCTCCGTCAAGCCGCTCGATGTTCAGTCTGCATCGATAGCCCGCACCTCGAACACCGAACACCCTCTCACCGGCTACGGCAACGCTACCGAGTGGACTCCAATGACTGCGTCTACTGGGAGACAACTAGCAGAACAGGGACCTGAGCCGCTCAGCCAACCCAGGCATATCAACAAGAGCGAGGAAAAAGGGAATAGCCTTGAGAAACGTGGCGTGGCTGAGACGGACAGCTGGGACTTCAACGATGCCAACTTCCCGGGTACAGCTGCGCCCAATCAGCCACAGCAGGTCTCATCGAACCGTCCGGATACCGATGTGTTTCCGACAGCCGACAACATCCCGAAATCACCGAACCGTGCGACCGCGCCGCTTGCACACCGGAGAAAGAGCTCGAGCTCAATGGCCCGGAGGAGGAGCTCAGAACATGAGCTGTCACTCCACGCGCTGGGCTCAAAGGCGGAGAGTGCCAACTTTAAGCTTAAATTTGGGTTACGGGGCCATCTAGACACCGTTCGGACCGTTATCTTCTCTGGGGGTGGCAGCCCCGGCGAGCCTGAGATCTGCACGGCTGGGGATGACGGGACGATCAAACGGTTCCACATTCCGGATCGGCACCCGGGCCACATGGGCCCAAGCGGCTCTGATCTCGACGTCGTGGCTGACTTTACACACCGCGGCCATGCTGGAGCGGTGCTCTCGCTCGCCTCTTGGTCACCAGCCCCAAATTTCTCGACAGGTGGACGCGCCCAGGGTGACGGGTGGATCTTTTCTGGCGGCCAAGATGCCACGATTCGTGTCTGGGAACGAGGGCGCGTAGACCCCAAAGCCACGCTAGACGGCCACACGGATGCCATCTGGGCCCTCTGCGTTCTCCCGACTAACCTGGGAACCGTCTTTGGCCAGTCCAACGCGTATGGGACCCCAGACCGCATCCTGCTCGTCTCCGGGGCGGCGGATGGCAGCGTCAAGGTGTGGGCGGTCAGCGCGCCCCCCCAGCTTGCTTCTCCGCAACCTGGCGGCGGTCGCCGGGCCCAGGGCGGCCGTGTCAGGGGCAACTCGATGAGCTCCGGCTCAGCGTTTCCCAACTCGCCGCAGCCCACGACAGCCTCAAACTCGCCGTTCCATCACACCCTCATTCACACCATCTCGCGGCTAGACTCTCAGGCCAGCCCGACATGCATCACGCCATTGAGCCCCAATGGGGAAACATTTGTGGTTAGCTATTCCGACGCTGCCATCATCGTCTACGACACGCGCTCGGGCGAGGAGATTAGCACCATGGCGAGCCTGGAAACATATGACGGCACGATATCGACCAGTGTGAACGCGGTTGTGGCTACGACGGTGGGGCTAGACCACCACCAACCTCACCCAGGCGTGATGAGCGAGGAGGATACGGCCGGCGGCGGGCCCACCGGGAGCGGTCGGGCCATGGCTGGATCTGGGGTCGAGGGTGTCATCATCTCGGGTCACGAAGACTGCTATGTGCGGTTATTTGATGCCAACAGCGGTATGTATTCTCCTTTAAACTGCTATTTGTGACATGGCGATACTGACTTCCTTGGCAGGCCAATGCACGTATAACATGGTCGCCCACCCGGCGTCCATCTCTAGCCTCTCGCTCAGCCCCGACGGTCGGGAGCTTGTCAGCGCGGGCCACGATGCATCGCTGCGGTTCTGGTCGCTCGAGAAGCGGACGTGCACGCAGGAAATCACGAGTCATCGTGTCATGCGCGGGGAAGGCGTCTGCACGGTCGTTTGGAGCCAGGATGGCCGGTGGGTTGTCAGTGGCGGTGGCGATGGGGTGGTCAAGGTGTTTGCGCGATAGTATCCGCCATCATCATCATCACCAGGACGTGAGAAGGTGCAGGGGCAGGGGCAGAGCACCGTGCCGCTGCTGCCGCGGATGTCGCGCGCGAGACTGGAAGAGATGAGATCAAAGGAGGAATCGTTGGATGCCATGTCGCCAGTTACACGCTGGCCAGCGAAGGCGACCCGGACGACGGGTCGTTGATGCCAGACTTCGCGCCTCTTGGGGTTTTTCTGTCCACGAGAAGGCTCCGACTGGGTGGATTGGGTATGGAGGAGCAATCGGTTGCTGAGGATGGAGACGACCCACCCGAGCCTGTCCGTTCGGGTTGCCGCTCCCGGTGGATGGCCCCCCACCCCCCGCGCAAGTTTAGGACGGGCCTCTATAATAAGACGATCGACAAGACTTTGAGTGTAACGGAATGTACGGATATGACTGGTGGTTTATCGTGTACACTGAGCCTAGAAGCTGTTCATCCTAGGTCGTATGTTTCGGTTTGGGATTTCCATAGCGGAGGAGCACATACTAATTCGCGTGAGTTTCTAAGTCAATAAAGATTTGGTATACCCAGTTGCGTCCGGCTTTGTTCTCCGACGAGGCTATTATCAGATTCGTGCTGTCGCTGGCACACATGTACGCATGGGCATATGCCGTTTGGGGGATGTTACCATTGCTCCATCCCCGCCACTGTATCATCTGAAGGGTACGCCGATCGAAATTCTTGCCGGACATGCGGATCAAATCCTAGCTGCACAACACTCCCAGAAATCGTGCGATTCAACCCCTCCCAACACACCATCTGCCGTACCCCTCAGCAGCGCCGCCACAGCAGAAGGCGGAAAGGGACTCAGTAGAATGGCCATGGTCTCATTATTACGGGGATAACGGCGCTTACCAGCTTCGAGATACATCATTAGGGAACAACAGAAGAAGCATTTATTTTCCCATGACAACATCGCAAGCTTCCGAGGCTTTTTCATGTCGAGGTCGGACTGTTTAGGGAAGCAATTGCCGCACTGCCGCGTCTTGGCTCTTTATGCAAGACACGCAGCGCCACCGACCGTTGACACGGGATGTGAGAATCACTTGCTATGAAGCTCGGGATCTGCACAGAAGGAACGGTATCCGTACGGCAGCTACCATCAACATACCTTGGGGGTCACGTATATGATCTCTGGCGCAAAGTCATCCGATAGGCTGCTGCTCGTTCGACGGAAGGTCGGTATCTGGCTCAACTGCCGAAGCCATGGCTGCAGGGAGAGCAGGAAGAGCAGCAAGAGCAATATGGCGTCGATGACGTTTAATTCGCTCGCAAGACGACATGTGGTACAAGCAGAGAGTGCTTCATGTCCATCATCGATATGTCGATCCAGCTCTGCTCCTTGCGATGGGGGCGACGACATGCCGGATTCGGAGCATTCGTGGAGGTCGTTTGCCTAAAGGGGCAGCTGAGAAGGGTCTGGGCATTCTAAGTACTGCATCTCTCTGCCGGAGCGGAGATGGTATCGCGAGGACTCACATGGCCTCCTCAACTGTGTCGGCAGCCTGCTCCAAGACCAGTTGTCGGGCGTTGATGCATTGCCGTTTCCGCTCTGAATCATCTTAGAGGACTGGGCACGGGGAACCGGTCTATCGACTCGCTCTTCTAGAGTGATGGCCGAGCGATGAATTTAACGTCCGTGCTACTCGGGCCCCAGTAACGCCCTTTCGGTCGACATTGTTCCGGGAGGCACGGCGGTATAAACAGGGTAGATAAGCTCTCCCTAGCCCGATATTGCCTGACGAGCAGAGCAGGAAGAATCGAAGAGTTGCTCCCAGCGTCTCCTACTCTATCCCCCCCCTTTTCAAGCTTCTCGAGTTGTCTCGCTGAAAAAGACTAAACAGTCCCTGCCCGGACTGCCCTCAGTTTTCAAGCCCCGCTTGAGGTTCTCTTTGGCGTCGAGCTCATCCTAAAGCTGCCCAAGATGGTGACTGTCACAAACCTTGGGCTCACGGCCGTCCTGACAGCATTGTGTCTCGCCTCGGCCCTGCCGCCAAAGATTGGTACGACCCGTATGGGCCACGGAGAGAACAGGCCGAGCCTCGGCAGAGGAGGCAGAGTCACCTTCAAGCAGGCTCGCCATCCAACAGGCCACCACTTCAACGGCGCTCGGTCAGTGTACAGGACCTATCTCAAGTATGCCGTCCCGGTGCCCGAGGATCTCGTCCGCGCCGTGGCCCACACGGATGCGCTCAACTCGGCCGCCGAGGAAGACAAACGCCGCCGCGGCGCCACGGGCAGTGCCCCGGCAGTACCCATTGACGAGCGGTTCGACATTGCCTATGTCACGCCCGTCACCATCGGCACGCCGCCGCAAACCCTCATGCTGGACTTCGACACGGGCTCGTCCGATCTGTGGGTGTTCTCGAGTCACATGCCGCCGTTCCAGGTCCGCGGCCAGGAGATCTACACGCCCGACGAGTCCAGCACGGCGAGGCTGCTCGAGGGACACACGTGGAGCATTATGTACGGCGACGGGTCCGCGTCCCGGGGCAATGTTTATGTCGATACCTTCGCCGTCGGCGGCCTGACGGTGCTGAACCAGGCGGTCCAGACCGCCCAGCAGGTCTCGGCGAGCTTCACCAGCGCGACCAACATTGACGGACTTGTTGGTCTGGGGTTCAGCACCTTGAATACTGTACGCCCGGAGAGCCAGCTGACCTTCTTTGACAACGCCAAGGCGAGCTTGGATAACCCGGTGTTCACGGCAGATCTGAAGTACATGGCAGGTGAGTGTTTCCATCAACCCGTTCTGGCTCATGTCGTTCTTCTTGCTTTTGTACTGGGGAACATCATCAACAGAGATACCAACCCAGTTTAACTCTTGACAGCCGGCACGTACGACTTCGGCTTCATCGACAGGGCCAAGTACACAGGCGAGATCACCTACGTGCCCATCGACCCGGACCCGGGCTACTGGATCTTCACCTCCTCAGGCTACGCCGTCGGCGCCTCGTCCAACTTCTCCGCTACGCCCATCATTGGCATCGCCGACACGGGGACTTCGCTCGTCTACCTCCCCACGGCCGTCCTCACGGCCTACTACCGCCAGGTCCAGGGCGCCACCAACAGCCGTAGCTACGGCGGTTATGTGTTCCCCTGCGACTCGGCGTTGCCGTCCTTTACGTTTGGCGTTGGCGAGGAGAGGTTCACCATCCCGGCGTCGTATATCCGGTATGCGCCCGTGACTGAGGGGTCAGCCACGTGCTTCGGTGGGCTGCAGAGTAGTAGCGAATTGGGCATCAATATCTGGGGGGATGTGGCGCTCAAGGCGGCGTTTGTCGTGTTTGATAGTCGTAGTCCGCCGCGCATTGGGTGGGCTAAGAAGCCCTTGGTGGAGTGATGGATGAAATGGATGTGTGCTGGAGATGGACGAACTGGTTCAATGGACGTGTTCTGCCTTGAATGGGGCGGCGATGGATATGTTGAAGGGATTGTGCCTGAAGTGATATGCGTTGTCCGATAGGGAGCGACGGACCAGACATGCAGGTGGTCTGTCTGAGTTGGTGATACTGCGTCGATAATTGAGATTCCTGGGCTGGATGGACGAGACGGACCTGAATGACGCGTCGTGACCGATTGGGATATCCGTCGTCCTTATTACTCTGTGGTTTCGTACGGAACCTTGCGACTTGTCAGCCTCTTTGCAAACGGGACAATGACCCCTGCTTAGCTGCATCCGGGATGTGACATCGGCCCCCGGCATCAAAACCTAAAGCGGACGACTGAAAACTGGACTCGTTGATGGCGCCTGCTCTTGGGAAACTTGCCGGTTGTTGGGCAGCATGTGACGATATCCATGACCCCAACAATAGTAGCGCGATTTCAGGACGAACTGAAAGAAGCAAGAGCTTCTAGTGTTGCATTGGAGATAAAGCGATACCTGAATCAGTCTTTGAGACGACGTCGCGTGCTGTCCCCGAATTGGGACCGACGCCTAAACCGATCCAGACAAGCTGAATCGCTGGTGTGTCTTGCCTGATAAGGAAGGCGCCAAGCCTCTAGAAGACTCTTCCAAGCGTCGGCCGCGTGACTTGGCGCAGACAAGCTTTGCGATTACGCCTCTTGACATCAATCCCGTCGACTTTGTTCAAACGGTTGCTGCTTGGCGAGACCGCCATGTCGAAATAAGACGCAGAAGAATCTCGTTGACAGACTTGTAACAGTGCTCTGAACCATGTACTGATGTTGGCTCCGTAGCCCCAAAGTCGAGGGCAGCGACCTGCCTACTTGGGCACTTGACCGGTTGTTCGGACCTGTGCGCCACTCGGTCTCTCAACCGCGGAATCCCCGAAGAAGCACACCGCAGACCTGGCTGGGTCCATCACCACGCAACGGCCAACTAGCGTTCGAGACCGAGGGAGATATGTGCGGGCCAGATGCAATGCAGCCGACACCAACTGAAGCTATTGCGTTGGGAGGCCCGGGGAATACGGAGCGATGCGATGAATAAGAGCCAACGGCGTGGGGTGGAAGATTATCGAGGAAGAAGCCATTGTCTCGAGATTGTGTTCCATTACGGAGCCTGCGGTACCCAATATCCGGCCGGTGGAGCGTTTGTCTCTTTCGTTCCAGGAGATCCATGCGCGTTCGCAAGAGACCCGCGGCATCCCACCTCCCTTCATAATCCCGAAGCAGCGATTTGCCTGACAAGATCAAGGCACACGGTGGATGTGTCGGCGCGGTCCGGGACTGGTTGATCCTCCAAGCACACATGGCAGCGGAAAGACCGGCACCAGCTGATCGCATTGCCGCGTGGAAAACATGTGTCGCGGAACGAGAAGGCGGAAAGAATGGCAGGTGCTGTGGCTCCATCCCGCATTGGTATCAGACTGACAAAATATGAACCTAACGTACTATCCAATAATCAGCAGGTCCGAGTGTCAGTCCCCCGACTGTGCGATTGCGTCGTGGTTGGTGGGGTGGTCGTCATTGGACCCGAGGAGGGATGAAGGGATAATTGCCATCAGAGCCGCAGCACGAGTTAGGAAGGTCGAGATCCCCAGGCACGTCCAGGCCGCAGCTTATCTGGAATCCTTTCTGGTGCCACCTCCGGGTCTGAGACTGGAATTCTCTGCCGAGAATCCACAGGACAACATTCGCTCGCCGGCCCCGACCCGGGCAACTTATCGATTCCACCTCGACCATCACGCAATTGCAGCAATTTTCTCCATATAACACGCCCACCCGACCACTACTGCCACCCGCTCTTCATCCCTCTCCGTCCCAGCCTGCCCAAGTGTGCTTCTGAGGTCCAACTTACTTTGGAGTCTCGATCTTCTCTTCTCCAGCAAGCACCGCCGATTGATTACACACCTCGGGTTGCGTGAAACGAAATCATGGGTAAGCGACATGTCACGATCGCATTCTTTGACGACTGTATGACTTATCTTCGTCCATTAAACAGCGGAGAAACCGCCCTCGTCGGGCGCCGACTCGGTCAAGGCCGCAGGCGATCCGGAGAAGCAGCCATACTCAAGCGATCGTCACCCACCATACCTCGACCCGTCCGTCATGGAAGAGGACTACGAGGGAAAGCCGACCGAGGAGGAGCTGGCTGTTTTACGCCGCGTGCCAGGCTCTATCCCCATAATCGCCTACCTCATCTGCGCAGTCGAGTTCTGCGAGCGCGCCTCGTACTACGGCGTCCAACCCTTGATCAGCAACTTTGTCAACCGTCCGCTCCCCAAGGGCGGAAACGGCTGGGGCGCACCCCCCGTCGGAGACCAGCAAACCGCCGGTGCTCTGGGTATGGGAACGGTAGTCGCCAATGCCGTGACGCAGTCCTTCAGCATGCTTGCCTACGCGCTCCCCCTCTTGTTCGGCTGGCTCGCCGATGCGAAGACGGGCCGCTTCAAACTCATCTGCTGGGGTGTGGGCGTCTTCGGCGTGGCCCACGTCCTCATGGTCGCCGCCGGCGCCAAGGACCTCCTGGCGAACGGCACTGCCAAGGCTCCGTACTTCCTCTCGGTCTATATTCTCTCCATTGGCGCTGGTGAGTCCCCCTCCCGTCGTGATGGCCCCCCAAACCGACTGAGGCCATGTTCTGACGTGACTTTGCAGCCATGTTCAAGCCGAATGTGTCGCCCCTCCTCCTCGACCAGGTTACGACCACTGTACCTAAGGTCATCACGCTCAAGAGCGGCGAAAGGGTTATCGAGGACCCAGAAGCCACCACGGAGCGCGTCATGCTTTGGTTCTACCTCATGATCAACATTGGCGGCTTCATGGGTGTTGCCACCTCCTACTCGGAAAAATATGTCGGCGTACGTGCCCACCATTTCAGACGACATCTCGCAAACCGGTACAAGAATGATGACTGATGAATCGCGTAGTGGTGGCTTGCCTTCCTGATACCCCTCATTCTCTACCTGCCGCTGCCGCTGTTGCTCTGGTTCCTGCACAAGCGCGTTATCCTTCACCCCCCCGGTGGCAGTGATCTGCCTAATGTCTTCAGGGTTCTCGGCGTCTGCCTCCGCCGCGGGGGCATCATGAGAATCGGCCGGCACGGATTTTGGAACCTCGCCAAGCCCTCCAACATTGCGGCTGCGGGTCTCAGCGAGACGTACAAGACGCGCTGGAACGATGAGTTCGTGGACGATGTCCGCCGGACCTTCCAGGCCACGGGCATCTTCTGCTTCTTCCCGATCCAATACATCAACGACAACGGCCTCGGGTCCGCAGCCAGTTTCCTGTCGACGATGCTCGAGACCAATGGGGTGCCCAACGACGTCATCCAAAACTTCAACTCGCTGAGCATCATCGCCTTTTCGCCCATTCTGAACTTAGGCCTGTACCCGGTCCTCCGGAGGCTCAAGATCCACTACGGTCCCGTCGCGCGCATGGCCACCGGGCTGGCCATGTCCACCCTCGGAGGCGTCGGGTACACGGTGCTGAACCACTTTGCCTACCAGCAGTCGCCGTGCGGAGAGTACGGCTCGAGCGACTGCACCATCGGCACGGGTGTCGCCCCGATCAGCATCTGGTTCATGGCCATCCCCTACGCCATTGGTGGCATTTCGGAGCTGTTTGTCAACGTGCCCGCTTACGGCATCGCCTACTCGCGTGCCCCCGTCAACATGCGCGGTCTCGTGTCGGCCATCAACCTCTTCAACACGGCCGTCGCCTACGCCATCGGCCTGGCCTGCTCGTCCGTCATCACGGATCCGTACCTGACGTGGGACTTTGGTGGCCCGGCCATCGCGGGCGGTGTCCTGACGGTTATCTTCTACTTCACCTTCCGGCATATCGATCAGGAGGAGTACGTGCTGAGCAAGAACGGCAACGACACGGACTACCACCTCAACATGGAGGGCACGAAGAACGTGGTCGGCGAGAACCAGCTCAACAAAAGCTTTAACAGGCCGGCACCTATTGCTGATAATGAAGAGATGATGATCTCGCAGAAGCAGTAGCAACGTCTTTTTGGGGCGTCTTTTGACGGAATACCGTGATCGCGGGTGGAGTTTGGCGTTTTTTATCCGAATTCCCGGGAGGTTGTCCTAGATCCAGCTCATTGTCGGGCAAGAAGGTGTTATGCTAATGACGAAGGAGATGTTGACCATGTGCATGATTCAGTTTGCCAAATTCATGTAGTAGCTTGGTAAGAGTACCGTGTTCCTCTCCGTGCACTATCCTCCTGGTGTCCTTCATTGCCGTGCTTCCTATAACCTGTCAACATGTCTCTTCGGCGTTCCTCGTAGGAGATGTGCCGGATGTGACGGCTTCGTCGACCCATTCTCGAGGTTAACAGTGGCAATGGACCTAGCCCATACAACAATTCTAATGCCGAACTACCGAACACCCCCGACTAGACTAGTAGGCACGGCAATCGGGCCGTTCGGATGTTGCAGGCCAGGATACTGGTAGTCGTTCGCATAAGCATGAGAGCCCTTGTCCTGGATTCGGAAACCGAGGTATCAGTGGAGAAAATTAGTGATTGTGGCACGTTCAGCAGGAAATCTGGTGAATCATGAATACGGATACTAAGAGATGGAATTTGAGACATGGATTAGCAGGAGTTGCCGTGTATGAAGACCATCGCAGCGCACCGTGGCGTGGTCAGTCGAAGGCTGACACACGAAAGCGGAGACGAACTCGACGTGGAAGGTCAGGATCCGGTGCTGAACCCCAAGACACTTGATGAACAGCAGACATCAGGCAGGAGCGGACAAGCGGAAAAAGTATGAAAGAAACAACGAGACAGCGGCCTTCGAGGGAGCAAAACCGTAAAGAATCCGTTCATCACAACAACCAGCATTTTCTTCCTCACGTCCCGAGCCCAGCCCAAGAGCGTAACGAAAAAAAAGAAAAGGGATGTAAAGCCGGTCAGACTTCCATCGATACCCACCCCGCCCAAGCGCCCGAAGGCAAGACCTCGGGAAAGCCGGGGTACAGATCATCGCCACTCTCTATACAGACCGCAGCACGAAAGCCGGCAGCCTGCCACCTTTGCAGGCAGAGCGAGAGTAAAAAAAGGATCTCACTGTAGGGTACCGAGGATATCGCTCATCAACCCGGGTGGGATCTGTGGCTCCTTTAGGGAACACAAATGGGGACAACTACTATAGAAATGATTCTCTGAAGTATTGTCGACATGAAGAAGAAAAGAGAAAAAGAAATCAAAAGGGTGAGAGGGCCGCGCTCATTATATAGAGCGAGGAGATGGTCTGTGCACGTCTGCAAATCTGCAGAAGCCCCACTTGCCCACAGTCCCCGCATGCAGAATTTTACAACGGATTTGGCGATGTTTGGACCCGCAAAAGATCTTGCCATGCAAGACCGCCAAAACTTATCCCTCGCCGCAGCTCTTCATCCTAAACAACAAGAAACGATGAGGCGGCTACATTGCGAGGGCAAATCAACGACGGTTTCTGGGTAGGTGTGGGAAAGGAGAGGGGTAACGGGTCAACTATCTGGTGGATGATGCCTGGTTGGGGGGTAAAGACAGCCGAGTTTAGCCCCCGACGTTCAGCTTGTTGCCCGCAATTAATTACACGTGCCCTGCGATGATCATGGACGGCTTCCAACCTCTGACGACCCCCAACGCTCAGCGGGCGACGGCTGGCTATCGAGACGTGCCTGATTAGAGGCAATCACAGAGCCCAGGTCTACCATCATCTATACCCAGCGCGTCAACCATTACTCAGCGTACAACCCTTCCTGCTCGATCCACCATCCCACCTCTGGTGGAACCATCAAGTCAAGCCTGTCCCAGTCCCTCTCCTTCGCCGCGGCCCGCGCGTAGGTACTGCTGATGACATCGGCACCGACCTTGCGCCCCCCAACCATCTCGATCCTGTCCCCCCAGTCTCTGCTTCCGCCGACCCTCTTCAACCCTTCGGCCCCCAACAGACCCTCGAGATATGCCGTCTGTTCCTCCGCCCCGCCCCACTCATCGTCCGTCCGCATCGTCACCCTCAGCTTTGCACGAAAGAAGAAGGGACCCAGTGCCCTGTGCATGGGCGTGATGGCCTCGACCTGGCCAGCGGAATCGGGAGAGGGACCGTAGTATTTTGGGTTGAAGATGCGAATCATCGTGTCGAAGCCAACGAGGAAGACCTGCTCTGTCTCTGTTTCGGTGTTGCCTTCGACCACGCCGTCCGCGTCTCGATCAGACTTCCCATTGTCACTATTGTAAAAAGCCAACTCAGCCAGCGCGGCGCTCTTTTCGTGGAAATAGGGCACTGTCGTGAGGCCGAGATCAACGCTCAATGTCTCCGTCTCTGTCTCCGTCTCCGTCCGGTTCGCTTTTTGCCCTTTCTGTCCGTCTTCATTTCCCTCCGAAGAAAGAACGGACTCGGTAACCTCGTGTTGGCATTGTGACGATACTAAAGCGCGTTGCAAATCCCCCGCAAAGGCCCACATCATCACCATGCGCTGGTCAAACGGCGCCGGCTTGACGGCCTTGTCGGCATTGTTGACGGACAGCAGCAGGAGCAGCCGCAGCCCGCTTACCCCCTCCCGGCCTTGCTTGCGTGTGAGGATATCATGGACCGCAGAAGTGGCCATGCGAAGGTGGGCGCGGGTCGGCGGGTTGAACGAGGAGTCAAGCACAATCAGGGTCCGCGGGCGGGCGCGGGGAGGGAGCGGCGCTGGCAGCTGACCATCGTCATGGCCGCCGCGGCACAGTGCCGGGGGTGCGGTGCAGACGATGGAGAATTTGGAGCCCGAGCTCTGGAACGACGAGAGAGCTCGGGTGAAGAAGTCGGCTATCGATCGGGTGGTGGAGGAGGCTGGGGCCTGAGGAGGCATCGACGAGTGCCCACTTCTGGGAAAGTCATTGGGAGAACCCATCAAGTCATTGACGTCTTCCATTTGTACTCTGCCACAAGATCGCATGAGGTCCTTTCGATCCGTTAGTTGAAGGCGCGGCGGGGCAGCTTGTCCGTGATTATGTCATTGCCGAGAGCCGAGCCGGAGCGCGGGTCCGAACATTTGAGGTTCCGTATCGGTCCCGAGGGGTTGCCCTCCGGCAGGGTCAGGTAAGCGCATAACATCAACAGCCTAGGTTACTACCCAATACTGCATATCCCTGAACATCTAACCTGCTGTGAATAGACCCCTGGTTGCTAATCTGGCGAGTCGAACCGTATTGTACAACTAATGTCGCGATGGAAAGCCTGCAAGTATAAACTCCCCATAACGAAGGGTATCATCGATACAGACAAACCGGCCCAAGTCCTCCAGACGCCTATGCAATGCACAAGTCCGATATCATGCCATACCCTCTAAGAGACAGGCTCACCCTTAATGTCCCCAACACCAGCACCAAGAAAAGGCCGTCTACCGGATCACCGGCTCGCGCATCGAATCCCCAAAATTGGACATGGAAATAGGGTGGCGCTCAAAGGCATCCAGCAGCTCTTGAAACGACTCGTCCTGCCGGTCCTGCGCGGCCAGCACACTGCCGAGATGCTCGTCCAGATCAGTGCTCAGGGCGTGGGTCGCCGGCTCGCATGCAGCAGTGCTGCCGCCTAGCGACTGGTCGTCCAGGGCGTAGATCTTGATGCCGCGAATGTGAGTGTCCTTGCCGTTCTGGTGGTTCTCTTTGATGTGCATCTGTACCATCCAGCAGCACAGCGAGTGGCCGTCGGCGCCGCCGCCGCTGTCGGCGATGGGGACGTCCTGCCACCCCACAGGGTTGGTGAGAGGGACCTCTGCGAATTGAATTAGGTCGTGGTGGCCGGTGCCGGCGTAGAAGACGATGTGGGTGGGCGTGTACGACTCGTCCTGGTTGTAGTCGACGTAGAAGCGGATTGTGCGGATCTCCACGCGGCGGAGAAAGTGAATCGTGAGAAGGTGCGGCTGTTGGCCATCCGATCTGGAAAGGGTGATGAGCAATATGCGGCGGTATAAAAAGCAGGAGGAAACAAAACTTACTGCCAGTACTTATCGAGGTCCTCGCTGAGCAACTCGGCCACGCCATTCCCCGGTCTGTGGCTGCTGACGCCGAAGTGGGCAAGGTTGTTGATTTCCTTCAGCCCCAAAGCTGCCGGATTGAATGCGTGATCCTGCTCTTCAGCCTCGGATCCGGGATGTTCTTCATCGTCTTCCTCATCGTCGTCCATCTCGTCGCCCATCTCGTCGCCCATCTCCGCAGTTACAACGTCGCCAAGCAGTTCATCGTCACCCTCTCCCACCCCAAGTCCTCCTCCCAAGCGCTCCTCGCCAATCCTCTCGTAACTTTCACGGATGCCACGGAGGTACTCGTCGTACGACATAACGTCGTGGTCTCCCATGGTGACTGTAAGGGATGAACACCGGAAATTAGTCAGTGCTATAACTTCGTCGAGATCGGAAATGCCCAGCTGTAGTCCCTCAAAAAACAGCAGCCTTGTTTTCTTGCTCGTAGACGATGGGGTCAAGCTTGTAAAAGCCTCGGCGGGTGTTCAGGTCCGTGTTGGGATCCAGCTCTCCAAGAACCTGCCTTGGCGCCCCAAACCAGCGAGCCAGCGCGGCGCTCATTGTGACAGCCAAAAGAAAGAAGTATGTAAGGAGCGATAAAGGGGTTAAGCAAAAGGTGTGTCGGTAAAAGGAATGAAAGCATACGGCAAACCTCCCAGGAAGGATGTTGACCAGGGCGACTGTCAAGGAAATTGGTGCTGCAAGGAATGAACGCTCAGCATGAAAGCAGAACATCATGGAAAGGCTCAGGTGATCAGATGAGTGATGCAGAAAAAAGAGCCGAAACGAAGTGGTATAACGCCGAGAGCCGATGAGGCCAAGTGAGTGGCAACGGCTGGTAGAGATCGCCGGGATTGGAGAGGCACTTACACCGGGGCATGGCAGCGAGATGTGCAACGGCAGAACAGCAGGCAGCAGCTCTTTTTGTAAACCTGCTTAAGGTACCAGGTCGAGGAAGAGCTCGCGCAATCGTGACCGGAGCTTGCTTAACCTAGCAGCTTACGGTGTTTTACTTGTCGTTGGGGACATTGGCCAAACTGTACCGTGAGCATGGCATATTACCAGTATTGTGAAGCTGCAATGGTCCGGTGTTTGCGTTGATCTGAGAACAGCAACCAAACAGATCTCCAGCTTGTGGATCTCCCTGGTCCTTCCAGATATGGGAGCCCCACTCCATCAATTCTGCCGCTTTACACCCGTCTGAGTGAAGCCCAATTCCTGGGCCAGCACATGTGACAGCGTGCTGAAGTCGCGCGTCAGGGTCGATCAATCACGCGTTGCAGGCCCACTTCTTCTGAGCAGACAACGCCAGCGACCACTCCTCCCAGACACATCACCAGCCAATACACATCACACTGCATGACTTCATCCGGGGCGCCTTGAAAATGCCAGAAGATTCAGGTGGGTTCTCTGTCTCCCATTGTCCTTTCACTTCGAGGGATTCTCAAAGCAGGCCTCCGAGATGTTGCTGATATATTCTGTAGATTCGGACACGATCCGTATCCTGGTCTCGTCCGATAACCATGTCGGCTTCGAGGAGCGAGACCCCATCCGCAAGAATGACAGCTGGCGGACATTTGACGAGATTATGCAGCTCGCCCGCACCCAGGACGTCGACATGGTGCTCCTCGGCGGCGACCTCTTCCACGACAACAAGCCATCGCGCAAGTCCATGTATCAGGTCATGCGCTCTCTCCGAAAGAACTGCCTTGGCATGAAACCGTGCGAGCTCGAATTTCTCAGCGATGCCGCCGAAGTCTTCGAGGGCGCCTTCCCCCATGTCAACTACCAAGATCCCGACATCAACATCTCCATCCCGGTCTTCTCGATCCACGGCAACCACGACGATCCGAGCGGCGACGGCCACTACTGTTCCCTCGACCTGCTGCAGGTGGCTGGATTGGTCAACTACTTTGGCCGTGTTCCCGAGGCCGACAACATCCACGTGAAGCCGATACTGCTGCAAAAAGGGAAAACCAAGCTGGCCCTGTACGGCTTGAGCAACGTACGGGATGAGCGCATGCATCGCACCTTCCGTGACAACAAGGTCAAGTTCTACCGACCAAGCCAGCAGAAGGAGGACTTCTTCAATCTTCTGGCGGTACACCAGAACCATTACGCCCACACCCCGACCAGTTACCTGCCCGAGAACATGCTGCCGGAGTTTCTCAACCTTGTTGTCTGGGGCCACGAACACGAGTGTCTCATTGACCCGACGAAGAATGCGGAGACGGGGTTTTACGTTATGCAGCCGGGTTCGTCGGTGGCTACCTCTCTTGTTCCCGGCGAGGCTGTGACCAAGCACGTTGCCATTCTCAGTATCACCGGCAAATCCTTTGAGGTGGAGAAGATCCCTCTCAGGACGGTTCGGCCGTTTGTCACTCGGGAGATTGTGCTGGCCAACGACAAGCGCTTCAAGGGGTTGGAGAAGAAACAGGACAACCGCCAGGACGTCACGAAACGGCTGATGCTGGTTGTCGAGGAGATGATTGAGGAGGCCAATGCAGCCTGGCGATCGATTCACGGCGAGGTGGACGAGGATGAGCGCCAACCGCTGCCTCTGATTCGCCTCAAAGTGGAATACACGGCACCCGAGGGCGCCGAGTACGAAGTCGAGAATCCACAGCGTTTTTCCAACCGGTTTGCAGGCAAGGTGGCAAACCAAAACGATGTCGTCTATTTCTACCGCAAGAAGGTTACAGCATCAAGTGAGTGGTGCCGCTGTACATGCGAGGGTTGAACCACCACAGACTAATTTTGTGCAGGGAAAGTTAATGTTAGAGGAGAACTCCCAGCGAGCGTGGCAGAGGTTTTCGGATCCACCGACGACGTGGTCAAAGTCGATACCCTGGTGCAGGAGTTTTTCGCCCAGCAGTCGCTCAAGATCCTTCCGCAAGCGCCATTCGGAGACGCCGTCAACCAATTCGTCAGCAAAGACGACAGACACGCAGTCGAGATGTTTGTCATGGACTCGCTGTCTACCCAAGTCAAGGGTCTGCTGCAACTGGAGGACGACAAGATCACGGAAGGCCTGGATGCCCACATCGACGATTTCCGAAAAGTCATGGAGAAGAGCTTTGTCTCGGGTAAGAATAAGCAGGCGCGGCGCAAGAAGCGGTTCAAGGAGAAGCCCGATGGCTGGGACTCGGATGTGGACGGGCACTGGACAGCGCGGCCAGAAGCCATCGAAGAAGTCCCTGCGTCGCCCGAGCCGGCCAACGGTGGACGCAGCCGAGCAGGACCGACGTCAGGAGTCACATTCAGCGATGATGATGACGACTTATTCGTCGGTGATGTGCCTTCAGTACAAGAAGCTCCGGCGAAGCGTGGGGTGGCAACGACAAGGACGACGAAGAAGGCGGCCCCGGCCGTGAAAGCAGCACCGCCCGCCAAGAAGGCAGCCACAGCGAGGAAGGCTCCAGCACGGGGTCGGAGGAAAGCGAACCCTTTCCAGGACAGCGACGAGGAGGACGAGGACGAGGATGTAATCATGGATGATGATGATATGAAGCCAGAGCCCCCGGCAAGACCACCTACTCGGTCGACCCGAACAACTCGTGGCGCTGCTGCCAAAACTCGCCAGACGACACTGAACTTCTCGCAATCACAAAAGCCGAAGGCGTCGCACAAGGCTATTGAGATAAGTGATGACGAGATTTCGGAGGACGATGCCTTCGAGTCGATGCCGGCCACGCGAAGCAGGCGGCGATAGCAGGGCTTGGAGCTGGCTGCGCGAGTACCTGGCCATTAGGATTGCTTTGTACAGAGCTTTGGATGACGGAGAAGGGTAACATAGTCGTTATCTGAGTCCAATCTGCCGTATGCTGTTTTCTTGAATTTTGTAAGCGGCCATTGATCTGCCGCGGGGACCGTTGACGTTGATGCGACCTTTCCAGCCCTGAACACCAGCCCTGGCGTAATGCACGATACCGTCCTATGCCACCTGCAACCAGTCAACACCTCTTCCAAAGTTTTCGCCAGCCCAAGAATCTCGATTCTCAAATCCCCGTTCAAAACAGCGTGATACCCGACCTCTGCTAACCGTGATCACGTGACTATCTGTGCCGACTTGAGCTTTGGACCCTCACTCCCACTTCAACCTCTGCCAGCTTGCAACATTATTTCCTGCTGGTTCAGGAAACCGCAGCACACCAACTTTGAGCGTTTAATGATGGCAACCAATCCTCCGACAAATAACGCAGAGCAAATGGCGGCCCCAGCAGCAACCGCCCCAAACGGCACACAGCCGACGGGCGAGCCATCATCCGGCAAGAATGCGAGTGTGAGTGCTGCAGTGCTCGCGGCGCCCGAACCCAAGTTACCGACGCGGAAAGACACCTCGCTCAAGGAGTTTATGAACAAGATGGACGACTACGCCCCGATCGTACGTCCTTCCTCATCCCCTGCCCTGCCCTTCCCCAACGTCCCTCTGTGTGAAAATCTCCCCTGTTCTTAGCATGATGCTGACTCGCTCTTTTTCTGGGCGCGCAGATTCCTGACGCCGTAACAAACTACTACATGACCCGCGCCGGCCTGCCCCCGCCCCCGCAGACCGACCCGCGCCTGGCGCGACTCTTGGCCCTGGCGACGCAGAAGTTCATCGCTGACATCGCCGCCGACGCATACCAATACTCTCGGATCCGCGCGAGCAACACCAATGCCAACAACCCGATGGGAAATCTTGGTGCTGCCGCCGGGTTCCCTATCCCGGGCCAGCCGGCGGGTAGCCAGCCTGGCGGCGGCGGCAGTGGCGGCAAGGGGGACCAGGGTGGTCGTGCTGGTGGGGCGCCGTTGGGGATTCAGAGGCCTGGCTATGGCGGTGGTGGGCAGGGTGGCAGTCAGAACAGGACGGTCTTGACCATGGAGGATTTGGGAATGGCCGTGGGGGAGTTTGGGGTCAATGTCAAGAGGAGTGAGTTTTACCGTTAGGTGAGGGAGGTGTGGAGGCTTTTTTTTGGTTTGGGTATTTCGCGAGGGGAGGGATGGGGTGGATGGCGTCCACATGGGTTTGGGTCGCTTTGCTGGCCCATTTGCAACGTCACCCTAGTGGTTTTTCCCCCTTGGAGGTTAGTGATCGCTGGAAGGGTCCGGCATATCATATCTTGGGGCTAAGGCGTTGGAGGCTGGCTTTTGGCGTTCATACTCGGGGGAATGGGCAGTTTCAGGGAACAGAAACCCAATAGATTCGGCATTCTTTTTTCTGGACAATAACGATACTTCATAAGATTCGGTGTAGTCTCTCTTGTCTATCCTTGTGTTGATCCCCAGTTTCAGCGTCCTTCCCATGCACGGCCCGTGGAGTGCCTGTGCAAACCAGTCCCCGGCTCCCTTTGCAAATTGCGAAAAAGAGCCTGGGCCATGGTTTCCGGTGCCAACTCCCACCAGGGTTGGTAATGCGCATTGAACCTTGCGCTCGAGCAATCCCCTTCTTCCCATGCCCTATTGTTACAGTGATTGTACAATGAAGCCAAGGCTCTCCCTGCCATGGTCCCCTCAGGTCCGGGTATCTTCGGTTGCGTCGTTCCTACGACAAACAAGCCTCCTCTTTATTTTTTGTTCCAGATAAACGCCTTCCGTGTCCTGCAGCGTGCACCGGAATTGTCAACAAGCGTATTCCCGGCAAAGGAGCCCTTCATCGCAGCGAACGGAACGGGTGCAGGGAGTCAGGGACATGTTGCATACGGAGAGAACTCGCCGAGCTTGTGGCCCACCATCTCCTCGGTAATGGTCACGTCATGGTAGACCTTGCCGTTGTGCACCTGGAACTTGAGTCCAACGAAATTTGGCAGGATGGTCGCTGATCGGGCCTGGGTCCGGATTGGTGCCGCCTTCTTTCCTGGCTCGGGCCGCACGATGGGAAGACTATGGCAGCGCACAATTGTCAGAGCGGTTCGGCGGTCGGACGGTAACGGGCGCGACCGGGGTTTGGAGGCTGGAAGAAATGGTTTCTGAGAAGACAGGTTGAGGGGGTTTCTTACGGGACAATATGTGGCCCTGAACGAAACGGTAGTTAGTTATGGGTTTAGAAGCCTGCAGGGCGTGGTTTTGGGGCCGGGCTTGAGTGGGAGTTGGGAAGCAGAAACAGGGCAATACCTTTCCAGACCGACCGTTTCAGCAAACACCGCGTCGGCTGCATGGCGGGCAACGCAGAAGTTCAAGACGTTTTGGCGCTTCTGCACGAGGTCCTTTTTGCGTGGACGGGCTTGGTTGAGATAGGCGCTTCACAATAGTCCCAAGTTCACGAAAATCGGAGGTCCCGCGACAAAGTGGGGCACAGATCCAGTCTCACGTGCATCCTATCAGCTGGTCAGTGCTTATACGGAGCTCAACGGAGTTAACGCTTCGTTGGTTTGCTGTGATTGGTTTGTTTGGCCGAGCTCGAATCCTCGGATGTCGCATCTAGGGATGGAAATGAAGATTTCAAACTACGAAAATTCAAAAATATCGGAATGAATTCATTTTTGGTCTCTGTTGAAACAGCTTAGCGAAATGAAATGTAAGTCGTATTGTTGGAAAGCCAACAGCCACGAATTTACCGCACCGTAGCAATTGGATACTAAAAGATGGGCAGCTGCTCAAATCCTAGTGTCTGTGTTGTTCCAAAGTTGCAGGCCTCTTCCTGATCCGAGAATCCTGGTGCTAAGCCATTAGTCACCCCTGAACTGCCCTCCCTAACTACTTGCCAAATCCAATACGTATAGCTATCGAAATGATTAGAGAACTTATTTTATTATTTCCTACGCCGATAAGCCCACAGGCGCGCCGGTCCCTCTACTGCTATATATAAAGGAAACCGTATCGTATATGTAACGGGCTGGGCCCGGTGCGAGCCTCGGCGACTCTCGGCCAATACCAAGACCCCTGATGAGGCTATTCCCACTCGCCCCACAGCCCACCGAACCTTCTAGCAACGCGCTCAGACCAGCGCGCCGACGAGGATAAGTATGCTTGCGAGCTACCAGAGTCTGTCGTCTCTCCTTTTCTTCTCCAAGTTCAGTGTACTCGTAGAGTCGTCATCAGCTAGTTGCAATATACTGCCTGAGACCGTTACAGTATAAGTCAGATAAAAACCTCTCTCCTCCACTTCGCAGCCACTATATATGAATCCAGCATACTACAAAAGAGAGGAGGCCCTTTGCCAGCCTCTGGAGCCTTCTAGCCCTCTGCTATTTCTAGCTCTTGTCACGGCGATTGCGCCGTGCCTGCCAGGACCCATGGGTGGAACCCGGCATGTGGAAAGCACGGGCCCCTGTGGGTTGAAGATTCTGCACCTCGCTGCCGCGAGATCTGTTCGTAGCTCCTCGAGCTACGTCTTGACAATCAAGCCTGCCCGTACCTGACGGAATAGAGCCCAGATTGTAGCTTAGCACGAATACAACTGCCATTGGACTATCAGCCTGTCCCGCCCGTGACATTACGTAGCTCCTCCCCATTAGCCGATCGTCTCCAATACGATGGCTACCCGCCCGGAACCTCCTGCGAATCCCGATAACGCGACAGACTTGACCGCGCATGTCAGCGAGCATCCCGAACGCTGGATGTTTTACCTGAGGAATATGGACGCGTACGCGGCCTCTCTGGAGAAGGAGAACGCCACCCTCCGTGCTGCTGCCTGCGATTACGACGCTACCGTCTCGTCCCTCCAGACCAAAATCACGAAACGCGATGCGATCATCGGCTATCAGAAGGAACAGCTGAGCGACCAGAACCGCGAAAATATCCAGAGGATCACCCAGCTCGAGGTTAAAAATGCCCAACTCCTCGCCGCTGCTACTCCCGCCGAGCATACCCCGCCGACCGAACCTGCATCTGTCACTGAACCCCTCGCCGAGCCCCTCGCAAGTACTGCTCCGGGAACACCTACGCCTGCTCCTGCCTCATATGCCGGATCCACCCTCATCAGTGAACGACTCCCAGACCCAGACAAATTCGATGGTTCCCGCGTAGACCTCCGACGCTTTACACAGCAGATCTACGGCAAGCTGATCGCCAATGCCGACCGATTTCCGACTTCTCCTGCCCGTCTGACATACGTTGCTGGTCGACTGACCGGAAAGGCGTACCAGCTGATGCTACCTAAGATCGCCTACGGACTCCCCCAGTTCCCCGACTACCCCGATATGCTCGCCTACCTGGAAGCTGCCTTCGGCGACCCCGACCGCGTGCAGAATGCGCAGAACAAGCTGTACCAACTCAAGCAGAGAAACGATGACTTTAGCACCTACTTCTCTGAGTTCCAACGCCTTGCCCTTGAAGGAGAGATGTCTGAAGAGGGCCTGACGCCCCTGCTGTTCCAAGGCATCTCGCGGGAGCTACAGGACATGCTCCTACACAACCCATCCCCGTCTCGCCAGTTCCGAGCTTACGCTCAACACCTCCAGAGCCTCGACAACCGGTACCGTCAACACCAGAAGCAAGTCAACCGTACCAGGCCCAACCACACCGCGCGAGCACCTGCGCCAGCCACCTCCCCCAGAACAACCCCTGAAGCACCGAGAAGTGAATCCCCGCACCCTACCAGAAGCCAGCACCAGGGCGACCCCATGGACCTGAGCGCGCAGCGCACGCCCCGACCGAATGGGCGGAGGGAACGAGGAGAGTGCTACCGGTGCGGGTCGAAGGACCACCGGGTCGCGCTCTGCCCAGAACCTGACACGCGTCCCCACATACAAGCCCGCACCGCCAGAACCGAACGCCCTTTCAGCCCCGACACCGACAGATCTCTAAGCCCGCCACCTAGCCTCCCAGCGTCGGTAAACGGCGCGAGTCTGGGTTAAGTCGCCCCCAGACTCTGACTCCCTGCGCGAATGGAGTGCCGACACCAAACGATGACGGGTGTTCGAGCTCTACGCCACCCCAACCGACTGGAACCACTCTAAGGAAAAAAGCTATCCGGACACTACGAATCTCTGCCGCATCTGTACGAGGTCTCTCTATCCGCGAGGAGGAGGACCTACGATCAAACCTGATGATCCTGCCTGTTACCCTAGAGAGTGGGAAGCAACGGCTACCCACTTACGCCCTGACCGACACTGGAGCCCAAGGGAAGGGCTTCATCGACCAGAGCTGGGCTGAGGCCCACGAGCTACCCCTCAAAAAGCTGCGAAGACCGTTCGCGTTGGAGGTCTTCGATGGCCGTTCGGCCGAAAGTGGGAACGTCACCCACTATGCAGCCATTGGCATGAGAGTTGCCGATCATTACGAGAAAGAGATCAAACTCTATGTGACGCAACTGGCCTACTATCCCGTCGTCTTAGGTATGCCGTGGCTGAAGGAGCATGACCCGAGAGTCGGTTTTGCGAGCCATACATTCACCTTCGAGAGCGACTACTGCCGAGCGAACTGTAACACCCCAAGTCGACCGACCAGGATCAAAGCCTTACATGACGTGCCAGAGAGAGCTCGCCCAAGCTATCTACCTCCACGTCCCGCCGGGCTGGAGAACGTCAACATCGCGGTCGTATCCCTCCGAGCATGCTCAGCGTACATCCGCAAAGGTTATAAAGTGTTCTCTGTCACGATCGAAGACATTGATCGCCAGCTGTCCCTGCCTGAACAACCAGACTTGACGAAACTGCTCCCGCCCGAGCTCCTGGACTTCCAGGACGTTTTCTCTCCTAAGGAAGCCGACAAGCTGCCACCGCACCGACCGTACGACCACGATATCAAGCTGATCGAGGGCAAGACCCCGCCCTTTGGACCGCTGTACGCTATGTCTCGCACTGAACTGCAAGCCCTGAAGGCTTGGCTGGAGGAGAACCTGAGGAAGGGATTCATCCGCCCAAGCGCCTCTGCTGCTGCATCGCCCGTCTTGTTTGTCAAGAAGCCAGATGGAAGCCTCCGCTTCTGCGTCGACTACCGGGGCCTGAACAACATCTCGGTCAAGGACCGCTACCCGCTACCCCTGACGAAAGAATCCCTGAACAACCTGAAGGGAATGAAGTATTTCACCAAGATCGACATCATCTCCGCGTTCAACAATATCCGGATCAAGGAGGGCCAAGAGTACCTCACCGCATTTCGAACGAGGTTTGGCCTCTATGAATCATTGGTTATGCCATTCGGGATGACCGGAGCCCCTGCTACATTCCAACGGTTTATCAACGACACGCTGCGAGAGCATCTAGACGTCTTCTGCACCGCGTACCTCGACGATATCCTGATCTACAGTCGCACTAGAGAGGGGCACCTGAGTCATGTCCGCAAAGTCCTGACAGCCCTGAGAAGAGCCGGCCTGTATGCCAAGATCCAGAAGTGCGAGTTCTTCAAGGAAGAAACGACTTTCCTAGGAGTCATTGTCGGTCGCCACGGCATCCGGATGGACCCCAAGAAGGTACAGACAATCAGAGACTGGAAGACGCCAACCTGCCTGACCGATGTCCAGGCGTTCATTGGATTTGGGAACTTCTACCGGCGTTTTGTACGCGATTTCTCCAAGATCATTGCGCCGATGGTTAACCTGACCCGGAAGGACGTGAAGTTCCAGTGGGACTTACGCTGCGAGGAATCCTTCAATCGCCTGAAGGAGGCCTTCACCTCCGCACCTATCCTGGCCCCATTCGACTGGGAGAAAGAGATTGTGTTGGAAACCGATGCGTCCGATTATGTCTCCGCTGGCGTTTTATCGCAGTATGGAGACGACGGTATCCTGAGACCTGTTGCGTTCTTCTCCAAAAAGCACTCGACGACAGAGTGTAACTACGAGATCTACGACAAAGAACTCCTGGCAATCATCCGCTGCTTCGAGGAGTGGAGACCTGAACTCGAAGGCACAAGCTCCCCGATCAAGGTTATCACCGACCACCGCAACCTGGAATACTTCACAACTACCAAGCTCCTGAACCGCCGCCAGGCCCGATGGTCCGAGTTCCTATCTCGGTTCAATTTTACGATCACCTACCGCCCTGGGAAGCAAGGGGCAAAGCCAGACGCTCTGACCAGGAGGTCAGAAGACCTGCCTAAAGAAGGGGATGAACGCCTGTTGCACCAAAGCCAGACAGTCCTGAAGCGCTCGAATCTGGACCCCCGAATCAGCCAGCTGCCCCCACCGGTCCAGGAATTGCCCGCTAATCAGCCAGTTACCCCCACCAGTCCAGGAACTACCCCCAAGAAGCGAGTCCGATTCGTAGAAGAACCCCTACAGCTCAACGCCCTCACCCGATCCCAAGCCCCGCCGAGAACGGAAACCCCAGCTGGAGAGACTCTCGCCCCGACGGAACCACTTCGCCCTGCTTTGCCACTCGAGAGAGACACACCGCTGCTGCCACCGGATATCAAGGAACTGTTCGTTAAGGGCTACGAAGCAGACGAAACACCGAAGTCTGTCCTGGAAGCACTAAGGAAGTCACACAGCCGCCACCCGGGCATCACACTCGCGGAGTGCGAGGACCGGGGAGGATACCTGTACTACCGAGACCGCCTGTATGTCCCGAACTACCCCGAGCTGCACGCCGAACTGGTCCGTTCCTACCACGAGAGCGCTATCGCTGGACACATGAAGCGAGCGCGCACGTACGAGGTCCTGTCGCGCGATTACTACTGGCCTGGGATGCTCACCTATGTCGAACGCTGGGTAGCTAACTGCCATACTTGTACCCGGATCACTGCTTCCCGCGAAGCCCGCCAAGGAGTCTTGAGACCGTTGCCGATTCCCGAGAGAGCCTGGAAGGACGTGTCGATGGACTTCATCACACACCTGCCGAAGAGCGAGGGCTACGACGCAATACTGGTCGTGGTCTGTCGCTTAACCAAGATGAAGCACTTCGTCTCCTGCAACGACACTTGTGACGCCGAAGAAGTCTCCCGCCAATACCTGAAGCACGTCTGGAAGCTACATGGATTCCCGACGACGGTGGTATCCGACAGAGGACCGCAGTTCGTATCCGACTTCTGGAAACACCTGACCCGCCGGCTGGCCTCGAAGGCATTGCTGTCGACGGCATTCCACCCTGAGACCGATGGCCAGACTGAGAGAACGAACGGCTTCCTGGAACAGTACCTGCGAGGATACGTCTCTTACTTGCAAGATGACTGGGCGCTATGGCTACCGCTCGCGGAGTTCGCCCTGAACAATGCCCTGAATGAGAGCATCAAGACGACACCGTTCTTTGCTAACTATGGGTTTCACCCTCGTATGGGGTTTGAGCCTGTAGTGCCGGACAAGACTCCCGGAGCCAGGGATGCCGAACAGTTCGCATCTAGGATGAAGGAGATCCACGAGTTTCTAAGATCCGAGATTTGCATAGCTCAAGCCCGCCAAGAGGAGTACGCAAACCGGAAACGCAAGCCTGCTCATAAGTACTACGTCGACCAGGAAGTCTGGCTCGATGCCCGCAACATCAAGACACTCCGCCCGCAGAAGAAGCTCGACTGGAAAAACCTAGGACCCTTCAAGATTACGAAGGTTGTCAGCCCTTACGCTTACCGCCTGGACCTGCCCGCCTCGATGAAGAACCACCCGGTATTTCACGTCAGCCTGCTCCGCCCTGCTGCCAACAACCCCCAGCCTGGTCAACGACAGGACCCCCCTCCGCCGGTAGAGGTCGACGGTTTGGAGGAGTTCGAAGTTGAGGAAGTCCTGGACTCCCGCCTGGACCGCCGCGGCCGAGGAGGTCGCCCTCGCCTGAAATACACCGTCAAGTGGACTGGATACGACCAGCCTACCGAGGTGCCCGCAGACTACCTGACGAACGCAAAAGAGGTGGTCCGTAACTTCCACCGCAGGTATCCCGAGAAGCCTGGCCCCTAGCTTGGCAGAGTGCGTCGACGGAGCTCCGCACCTAGAGGGGGGATACTGTCACGGCGATTGCGCCGTGCCTGCCAGGACCCATGGGTGGAACCCGGCATGTGGAAAGCACGGGCCCCTGTGGGTTGAAGATTCTGCACCTCGCTGCCGCGAGATCTGTTCGTAGCTCCTCGAGCTACGTCTTGACAATCAAGCCTGCCCGTACCTGACGGAATAGAGCCCAGATTGTAGCTTAGCACGAATACAACTGCCATTGGACTATCAGCCTGTCCCGCCCGTGACATCCTTTCTATCCCAGCGATGTCATCCGAGTGCGAGCGGGTGTTCAGTCGTGCCGAGCTCACTGTTGGCATCCAGCGACATAGTCTTCAAGGAAACACAATCAACATGCTCGAATGCCTGAGGAATTGGCTGCCAAGTGGTAAAATCTGAAGCAGGAGGGTTTGTGGCTGATGGCAGCGATGTCAGAGGCACAGTTTTGTATGGAGCAATGGCTGGGTGGTGAAATGGGGGTACGGGCCGGAACAATCATATCCGGTGCCCGCTCAAATATACGCAAATTGAAACAACGCAAATCAAATATACGCAAATCAACGCAAATACACCGCACCTGTGGCAAATCGACGCAAATAGAGGGGTTAGTTTGGGTTGATTTGCGTTGTTGAGAGCGCTGGTTTGGATGTGAACCGGGATGATAGTCTGATTTATTAGCGGTTGTTGAGGGAGGAATGTGAGACTGCCACCAGGATGGATTTGTATGCTGGCTTCCCGCATTGCTGGTGGGATATGTATCCGGACCTGGAAGCGTCTAAGAAGAGGATAGAGGATATAATCTATGGGCTGGGTCGGCTGTTGGGCAAAGAGTGCCCGGCAAGAGAGCTCATATCACTAAGCTAGCTAACTGGATTTCGTCGGCAGGGTATTTCCCAAGGCTATCTTTGACGACCAGGTCGACCTGAAGGAGCTCAACTTCGTTGCTGTAGGCCGGCGGGAGTTCGTCGCGTACATGATGTTGAACTGAGTGGGTTCCTTGGCACCAAGATTCACGGACTGAGCACTGATGTTCAATGCGAGACTCTCAGTCAGCACAGATCCATCACAATGACACAGTTCCTGACATAGCGTCATATCATGGCACACTGTCTCTATATAGGGGGTTAATTCCCCTGGGAGGATTAGGGAGGACAATTTTCTGTTCCAACAAGAAAGGGACATTCTGAGGCACCCTAACCCACTATCTTGATCCTTCATTTTGTGTGGTCACTCTGGAATCGTGACTCCAATTCAAGCTTCGTTTCAAACCTCAATCTGTTCAATACCATTTGGTTGATCTAAGCTTACTTGAGCATGTAACTGTTGGCTGCCCAACAGCACGCACTATACCATTGTCGCAGTCCTCGCCGGAGACAACACGACAGATGATGACCGCCGACCCGACTCGCGATAGCTGAAAGCTAAAATTATCTGGCAGGTGTCGGTATACACCATTGACGTCTCGTCGGAACTCCCTCTTGACCTAGATCAAGTCCGCCATGTATCTTGTATGGAGATCGTGGACGACGGAAGCCTCGTTGAGGTGGGTCAGCTCGGCCATGTCGTTAACAGTCGTTTGCCTTGTCGAACTTGGCTGGCTTGACATTATCAACGCTCTCGGCGTCGACTTCTCGTTGCTGTTTCACGGCGTCAATAGCAAGTTGTAATACTCTGGGCGAAGGTCGTCATACGTCCTAACTGAATCCCCCTAAAGCTCTTTGACGTCTGTAACCTCCGACTTCTTTTCACCATCTCCACTCTCCTCCGCATCATGAGTGTCCCGATACGCAACAGGGCCTTTGTAGTTCCTCCTCTGCTTCCATGTCAAACCAGGCGTCTCGAATATAGAGGCAATCTCCTCGAGCGTGTAGCCCTTGGTCTCCACGAAAAAGTACCAAACGGCAGCGAACTTGTCACGGTCAGCCTTGCAACGAGTCTCTGTTTTCGAGGTGGGAGGCAATACGCACCTCAAGGAAGGTGTACACAACATAGGCGAGGTAGTACTTCCAGCCGATGTTCCCTAGGCCAATCGGGTTGACAAAGGCGGTGAAGAAGCCTGCAATATGCATGACGCCTGTCATGTAGGTAACGCCGCGTGCACGGATCTCGAAGGGAAGTAGCTCGGCCGGATACGCCCACAGAGGCGTCCAACCCAGACTGTACGCTCCGTTGGAAAGGAAAATGCAGACCAAGACGCCATAGGCAAAGCCCCGGGTCCCGTGGGTAGTGTACACTGCCGCAATCGTCAACACATACAGATCTTCGCTCGCGCAGATGCAGATGCCTCTGACGTCGAGGAGAAGACTTACGAGCGGCGAACGTCGTCCAGAGGATAAACGCCAGAAACATGCCCAAGGTAGATGCAATGAAGAGCTTTCGGCGGCCAACGCGATCGACCAGGAAGGAGGCGCCGATGGCAACCAAAAAATTGTATATGGAGAGGCATCCGTTAATGGTGGTCTGCTCGATTGTCTCTGTGATGCCGATGCTGTTCAGCACAGCATGAAGATAGTACTGAACGAGACCGTTACCAGATACCTAGACCATGTCAACATATACGCGCGACGCTCATCAACGCTGTTGCCACTCACCTCGAGGAAGAGCCCGCAGAAGGTTACGATGATGAGTCTTCTCCTGTTTGGTTTTGTGCGGAGAAAGTCCAGGTAGCTTGACTGCTTCTTCCATTGAGCATCTTGCAAGATGGCTTCCTTGATCTGCGTATACTCAATCTCGACAATCGGGCTGTTCTCGTCTCCATTGGCATGGTGCTTGATGAGAAATTCCCTGGCCTCGGCACCTCTACCTTTGGCGATCAGCCAGCGGGGGCTTTCGGGAACAAACCAGATGAGTGCAATCTGAATGATGGCAGGGAAAGCCTGTAGAAGACTGGGAATTCTCCAGGACCAGGCGTTCTGAATGAATTGCGTGCCGTAGGTGACCCAGGCTGCGATGATGGCGCCGGTGTACCAAGTCGCGGGGAAGTAGGCCAGGATTGAGCCGCGGTGTTTGGGGAGAGCCACCTCGGCGAGGAGCACAGGTGCGGCGACGACTGTATAGGCCAGACCAAAGCCAATGAGAAAGCGAGCGATGATAAATGCTGCGAGATGGGTGGCCGATCCCTGCAAGGCAGCGCCAACGAGGGTCCACGAGGCGCCAAAAACGATGCTGCGGCGGCGACCGATTTTGTCGACGAGCCAGCCGATGCTTGGAAGAGCTAGGATGGAGCCCACCGTTTGGATGGACGCGAGGAGGCCGAGAAGTGGTCCGCGGGGATAATCGAACTCTGGACGTTGCGTTAGACTGAGCGGCGTGGAGCGAGCTTCTGGCGAGATGCAGTTACCTTCTTGCCAGGAGGGCAGCAGCTGGAGTCCATTCATAATCATGCCGTCGAAACCCTGATACGAGCTGCTTAGGATGACAATGGGCAGGACGAGGTACAACCTCCTCAAACCGGCGTCCTTCCACCAGGTCTCGGGACCGAGTTGGTTTGCGTGCGTCATGGCAATGCTGGGAGACGCAATTGGGATTGAGTAGTTCCAGAACAGATATTCGATTGAGGAGCTTCTTAACTATGAACTTTCTTGAATACTGCCTGTACCTCTTCTATTTGTATTGCTGCGCTCCCTTGGTGCCTCACAGGGGACAAAACACGACGAAGCTTTGCGCTAGTGATAACGATCAAGGCTCGTCCCACCAACGTGTATCAAAGTCCAAGGCCTCGACCCAGCTCCCTGAGATACGCCAACTCAGTTCAGTTAGAAGAGGAGCTTCTTGGAAAGCACGCCATAACGTGGCGAGATGAAGTTTTTGAATGGGATTGTGCAATCGGTGCAGATGAAGCGACCATGTTGTGTTCATGAAAGACTCTTGGCCGACCTCGCACGGATGGCAGGGAAGGAGGGAGCATGAGCCGCTGTTGGTGGCTGGTTGGTGGCTGGATTGTGACTGTCTGGGCACAAATGGTGTTGCGTGGTTGATCGCATGCCGCCCCAAGTCCGACCTTGCCTCCATGCTACTCCGAATCTCCGATTCTGGAGTCTGGGCTAGCGAGCCCCACACCGGACTTCGGGGGCACACGGCATGTCACCCCGGCGATCCCAAACCGGCACGGAGGTACATGGGACACGGCTCGTGATTGCGAAGTCGTTGGCTGGTCCATCCGCCTGGGCCGTTGCAATCAAGCCATTCAGCAACTCCGTTGACTTCAACGGTCCGACCCACGCGATCTTAGACTCTTTCCTCACCAAGTTCCTGCCAGAGGTCGACCCTCGAGCGACTCTGAACCACAGCTAGTTCGTTTGAAACTCAAGCAAGCTCTTTGATGCATGAAGAGACTTGTTGATTTCTTTTCCCAGTCAGAATCGAGTCGCCCAGCATGGCAGATGAGAAGATTGTCCCTACGACGATAGGGTCCTCGGATGTTGACTCCTCACAACCAAACCCCATCAGCCACAAGGATACAGAGTCCATCAGGTTGCTTCTCGACAGCCAGTCTCCCAATGGCTCACATGACCTGAAGCAGATCGGTGTTTCGTTCAGAGATCTTTCCGTCGTGGCGCCAACCGGAACCGAGATCACCGTCAAAACTCTAGGCCGAGCGATTCTTAACACCTTTGGCCCCGACCAGGTACAGTTCGTCAAAACCCACCTTCTGAACCACTGGTGGCCCCAGAAACCCGGAAGTTCGAGCGCAAGGGCCATCTTGAACGGACTGTCCGGAATTGTCAAGCCCGGAGAGATGCTCCTGGTGTTGGGCAGTCCCGGAAGCGGCTGCTCCTCGTTTCTTCGCACCATCGCCAACCAGTCACCCCTGACTGTTCATGGCGATCTCAGCTTCGCCGGCATACCCGCCGCTGCGTTCAAGAAGAGCCACTCCCGAGAGACCATATATCTTCCCGAAGAGGACAAGCACATCGCCAGCTTGACGGTTCGGCAGACGATCGCTTTCGCCCTGCGGTCCTCTTTGCCGTCACGCCTCGGAGGCACGAGCACCGTCACAAATCTGGTTGAAGCAATTGCAAAGCTTCTGGGGCTCGGCCATGCTCTTGAAACTCCGGTGGGAGGCGCCTTTACACCGGGAATAAGTGGCGGGGAGAGAAAACGGTGCGTACCTGTAACGACCTGATGTGGCCTGCGACTGCAAGTAAAGTGGTGTCATGGGTCTAACTGACCACCTTAATGATCGCAGTGTTTCTATTGCTGAGGTTTTTGCTGCCGGGTCGTCTGTGCAGTCGTTTGACAATTCAACCCGGGGTCTCGACTCGTCCACTGCCCTCGACTTTGCTAGGGCTCTAAGAGCCTTCACGGACATTGGCAACAAGGCCACAATTGCAACCCTCTACCAGGCCGGGGAGGAGCTCTACTCACAGTTTGACAAGGTCATACTTCTTGACAAAGGCCACCAGGTCTTTTTCGGATCTACCACACAAGCGAGAAGCTACTTTGAAGAACTCGGGTTCATTCACGTCGAGGGGCAGACCACTGCGGAATTCCTTGTCACCGTCACGGACCCCAACACCCGAACCGCGAAGCCAGGGTCACTCGCCGAGGGCATTAAAACCCCAGAAGACCTTGCGTCTGCATTCAAAGCTTCCCGGTACTACAAATCCATTCTCTCGGAAATCGAAGCATACAACCTGGAGCAAGCGGGAAGCGCTACTCCCCTACCGAGCGACAAGTACCGACTCTCATATCCTGCCCAAGTGCGGGAGTGTCTGCGGAGGGAGTTTCACTTGGTGCTGGGCCAGCGGAGGGTTTACTTCGTCAAATGGCTCACCACCATCATCCTGTGCCTGTTGTGCGGTTCAGCCTACTTCGACATCGACAACACCGCCCAGGGAGCCTTTACGCGCGGAGGCATCCTGTATTTCTCATTGATCATCAACGGTTGGCTGCAGTTCCCTGAACTCTTCGACGCGCACACAAACCGGCCCGTCGTCGAAAGACAGGGTGAGAAGGTCCATCTAACGAACCAAGTGAGGCGGGAACTGACGACCTAATCAGCGCAACTTCATGTCACGAGACCGTCTGCCGTCGCCGTCGCCAGATTTCTGATCGACTTGCCCCTTATCGCCTTCCAACACGTTATCTTCATCATTGGCTTCTACTTCCTCGCGAGATTGCAGCTGGAAGCCGGAAAGTTCTTCTTCTTCTATCTGACCCTTTTCGTCTCAACTGTCTGCTTCAGCAACTTGCTGCGTATGTTTGCTTCATACGTGGGAACCTTGGATGACTGTGAGAGAACACCAACCCGCAATCTGATGCCTGGTCACGCTGACCGAGTATCCTCCTTCAGGCTTCAGATACGGAGGCTTCTCTTGCACCGTCCTGCTGCTGTTTGCGGGATTCTTGATTCCTCCGGTGGACATGACAGCAGCGTTTGGGTGGCTTCATTACATCAACCCCATGTATTATGGGTATGAGAACGTAAGTGTCTCCACTGCTCAGAACAACCCAAAAAGTGAGCCGTGTGACTTACCAGCCCGCAGCTCTTCGTCAATGAGTTTGAGGGTCTATCCCTGGCTTGTCATGACAACATTGTCCCTTCAGACGGAGTCACGGGCCATCAGACCTGTGCGATCCGTGGCGCCGTCCCCGGAGACACCTTGGTATCGGGAAGCCAGTATTTTGAGACATTCGGGTTTGACATCTCACACAAGTGGCGTAACATTGGCATCATGATTGCCATCGCCCTCGCCTACCTTCTCGCTGCCGTCGTGGGTAGCGAGACGAGGAGGTTTACGCCGCAGGGAGGGGCGCCCCTAATTTTCACCAAGCGCCCAGACAAGACGTCGAAGAAACCCTCGGACAAAGCTGACGTGGAAAAGGCGGCACCAACCATGCAGGCTCTCAATTCCGGAATCTCCGTCCCTGGAAACAAGTTGGGCGAACTCGCCCTTACGTGGAGAGACATCAACGTCAACATCGGGGGGAACGAAATATTGAAGGGCATCTCGGGATTCGCTCGCAGAGGCGAGCTCACAGCACTTTGCGGCGCGAGTGGCGCTGGAAAGACTACGCTCCTCACTGCTCTCAGTCAGACGAACTTCGCCGGCGATCTGCAAGGAGAGGTTCTTGTTGACGGGAGGCCTCCTGACGAAAACTATAGAAAGACCATCGGTTTGTTTCCCTTCACGAATTGAGGTCTCTTATTAATGATGACTGACTCTTGCACAGGATTCGCCCAGCAAATGGACCTCCATGATGGGACTGCAACAGTACGCGAAGCGCTTGAGTTTTCTGCCCTTCTGCGACAGCCAAATGACTACTCCCGGGAAGAGAAACTAGCATACGTGGATAAGGTGCTGGAGACTTTGGACCTCGTCGATGTGCAGCACGTTCTCATCGGCGAAGACGGGGGCGGCCTGGGCGTTGAGCGACTGAAACGTGTCACGGTAAGTGTATTCAGGCGATTTGTGGTTTGGGTGCCTCTCTCAACGTCATGTTAGATTGCCATCGAGCTGGTCGCACGACCGCAGATATTGTTTGCTGACGAGCCGACATCTGGGCTCGACTCGCAAGGCGCGGCACGCATCGTTCATTTCCTCAAGCACGTCGCTCGCCAAGGCCAGGCCGTTGTTGTCACCGTTCACCAGCCTTCGGCACTTCTTTTCTCGCAGTTCGACAACCTCCTCGCTCTCTCGTCGGAGGGGAGGCAGCTGTAGTGAGTACCTAACAGGCGTTACCGGCACGTTTACTTGTTGACTGACGCACAATCAGCTTCGGCAGGGTTGCGGATGCCCTTTCGTACTTCGCTCGGCATGGTGCCGTCAGCCCTCCCGGTGCGAACCCCGCGGAGTTCATTCTCGAAACTGTCGGCGCAGGCATCAACGCTCGCAACAACGACAAGGGCGCAACCTGGGCGTCCAACTGGTCTGCCTCTCCCGAGCTGGCGGGGTTACTAACCGAGATCGATCACGGCATCAAACGCCGACCATCCAGCGGCAGCGTGGCGGGAACCCCGCCAAAGAGCAGCTACAATGCAACAGTCTTCGAACAGACATGGCTGCTCACCAAGCGGATGCTGCTAGGTCAGTGGCGCAACCCGCCTTACATGTACAGCAAGATATGGGTTCACGTCATCTCTGGCATCCTTGTCGGCTTCACCTTCTTCCAGATCGGCACAAGCCCTCAAGATCTCCAGAATCGGTATGTTCTTGGTCCCGCTTGTACTCTCACATCTGACAAGTAACTAAATCATCTCAGGTCTTTCAGTGTTTTCTTCATACTCTTCCTTTGCAACGCTATCGTCAATGTCATTCTTGCGAGGTATTTCTTCGCGAGCCTCTACTGGCTATTCCGGGAAGGACCATCGCACGCCTATGGCTGGGTCGCCTTCGTCACTTCGACAATTCTTGCGGAGATTCCCGGTGCGGTACTCGTCACTGTCTTGTACTTTGTGTTGTGGTACTTCCCCAGCGGGCTGCCACTGGAAGAGGCCGGGTATATTTTCTTGTTCCTTCTCACATACGAGGTCTTCCAGGTCAGTATTCCCACAACGCAGCCGCTCTATGAAAATGTGTGTCTGACAATGATAAGGTGCTTCTTGGGCTCTTCATGATGGCGCTTAGCCCGGATCTCGGCGTAGCCGGCAATGTTCTCGTCTTCATCGTCTGCACCCTGAACTGGTTCAACGGTATCATCGTACCATTCCACCAACTTCAAGTGTTTTGGCGCTCCTGGGTAAGCTCCTTACCATTGTGCTTGCATTGGAACATTAGCTCATGACTGCATCAGCTCTACTACCTCTCCCCATTCACTTATCTCTTGGGTGGAATGATTATTGCTGTTACGAGTTCCGTATCCGTTGACTGCAAAGCTTCCGACTTGGTCGAGTTCACAGCGCCGGACAACCAGACATGCGCATCATATGCCGCCGACTGGGCATTGGAGGCATCAGCCCAGCTGTTGAACCCGGACGCATCAGGCGACACTGCGTGTCAGGTATGCATGCTTACCAGCGGATCGCAGTACTTGGAGCTGTTCAACCTCAATGATGCTTTTGGCGGGAAATGGGGTTGTTGGGCCATTTTTTTGCTGTTCACTTTCAGCAACTTGGCTTTGGTGTACTTATTTACTTGGGCAACGAGAGTGAAGGGACGGAAACTGCTCTACTTCATTTAGAGCGGTATATTCCATACCGAGGTTCTTAGAAGAGGGCATGCAAGTCGGAAGGAGAGTACATTTCCATCTAGGTGTTCGTCGGCACAGACAATTCGACGCAGCAGACTTTGTAATCGACTCAATTTAGCTTATCTCTTGTGGCTACTTTAGTGTTGCAAAGAGCTTGATCAATGAAGCTGTAATGGATATGCGGGTGGTGCAAAGGACGGGAGCTTTGCAAGTAACGCCACGGCCCTCTCAACGTGTTTTGGAAGTAGAGGCGCAATTCTGTCCCATTTTCAACACCTGTCCATGTTCCATAAACGACTTGAAGAATGACTATCTACCTGTACTGTAGTGATTCTTTTCCCAAGAGCACGCGATGAGCTAGGGGGAAGTTTTGCATGATTAAAAGATCACGATGATATGGCGGTCACGTTCTAGGACGAACCTTCTAAGCGCTAACGGCAGTGTAGAGTCCCTGCTTATGATCCAACGCGAGCCGGACACCCTCGAGCTCATTGCTCCTCTCGACGACTTCCCCATCAGATGCCCTAGGCCTGGCTCGCGCAACCGCATTGGCCTTGACCATAACTTCTTCCCATTCTTTTTCAGACTCACTGAGCCACGTGATGGCACCGCCCGCCCCGAGTTCGAGCTCGTCCCCCGTCTTGACAATTGTTCGGATGACGACGGACTGGTCCACAGTGCCGCTGACGCATACGTATCCCAGACTGCCCGAGTATACTCCGCGCCGGCGCTGCTGCTCCAGTTGCTCGAGGATCTGGACCGAGCGAAGCTTGGGTGCTCCAGTCATGGAACCTGGGGGAAAACATCGCTCCAGAACCTTGACCCCGCCGACTGTCGGAGCCACTTGGGATTGAATTGTAGTGACAAGCTAGATAAAGTCTTCAGTGTTGCATCATCACATCGAATCGGTCTGGGGGGGAGGCTAACCTGATGCACCGTTTGATATGTCTCCACGTGAAGCAGCTTGGGGACCTTGATGCTGCTGGAAGGGGAGACATTGTGGAGGTCAGATCGAATCAGGTCGACAATCTGTGAGTTAATTTTTCTGAGTATCGTGCGCTTCAGAATCAAAGTGGCTTTTCAACATACCATGAGGTTTTCTGCTAGCTCTTTGACGTCTGTCGCCAACTTGTTCTGTCTTCGAAGGTCCTCTTCCGGATCAGGGCTCACAGCCAACGTCCCCTTGATGGGTTTCATCTCTGCCACGCCATTTCGGTCAATCGAGATGAATCTCTCGGGGGAGGAAGACAAAATCGTCGTGTCGTGCGCCGGGAAATGGAGGAACGCCGAGTAAGGCGCCGGGTTCCTGCCGCGTAAATCGAGGTACAGGGCAAAAGGGTCTGCATCAGGGCTCTTGGCAAGGAACTTTGTGGTGAGAGTGAGCTCGTATGTCTCACCCTCGCTGATGGCCTTCTTGGCTTTTTCTATGGAGCGGGTGTAAGACTCCTCATTGTCCAGCGCGAAGAATTCCGGCAGAGGATGGGGCTGGACATAGGGCGGAGATGGGAGACCGGCAAAGGCATCCCGGAAGCGGGACACGAGGGATGCAAACTCGTCCTCATCAATCCCGACAGACGTAGTGGCTCCGATGGCTTCGCCAATGGGGTCTTGCTCGCCGCGGCGGATCAAACCGAACAAAGTCCACTCCCCGGTGTAGTTATCCAGGCGGAGCACTCGGTCAGCGAAGATCAACTGACTGTCTGGCCGGTCGTGCTTCTCGACGTCTGCGTCTGGGCCTCGATGTCCCGCGAGCGACTCCCACTTGAGCTCGTAACCAAAGTATCCAATAAGTCCGACTTGGAGCAAGGGCTGGCCAACTTCGGTCTCCTGGTTCAGAGACTCGGGAAGGATGGCTTGTGTGTTTTTCAGCAACACTTCGTGCTGGAAACGGTCCAACCAATGCCAATATGAGCCTTCAGGCTTCTCGGACTTGATTATTTTACCGTCCTGGTGGACTGAAACGGTTCCCGGCTCCTGAGAGTAGCTGAGGCTGAAGGCGGCAGAGGCGAGGTAGGAGTTGCGTGAGTGAGAGTCGCGGACCTGTGGTGATATGTGTGAGTACGTTATCGCTGAATTGACAGGGCCACGCATATAAGCATTGACATACTTTGGCACTGTCCAACCACGCCTCTCCATCAGCTGAAGATCCTCTGATGAGAGTGTGAAAGACAAGCTCAGGCTTCGGTCCCTTGCCCAGAGATGCCGTCGCGACATAATACGGCGTGTCCTGTCCGCTCGTGCCCACCCCGCGAAGAGTGGTTGGCTCAGAGCCATAATGTGCTTCATCGAGAAGCACATCTGCCTTGAGGATCTGGCTGGGCAATGTGGCATTTGGTCGAATACTTCGGCTGGTCCATTGGTTTGCCGGCCGGCTTGTGGCCCAGTAGTTCAGCACAATATCGCGGAAGTTGGAGAGTATCTTGGCGCCATGCTCGGAGCAAACACTCTCTGGGTGCCATTGCGTCCCAAATATGGGCCGTCGTCGGTGCTGCAGACCCATCAAGACCTTCCGAGATGGATCTTCAGGGTCATAGGTCCAGGCCGTTGCCTCGAGATCAGATGGGAGTGCTGGAGCATGTCGGTCAGATTGGGACGTGAAACGGGACGACGGAACTCACATTCGATGTCAAGCACCAGGCTGTTGTACCTCACACCCCAGAAGCGTTGAGGTAAGTCTCGAAGCACCCCGATCGCCTTGTGGTGAATCTCGGCTGTCTGGCCATGCTTAATGTTTGGTGTGTTGATGATGGTGGCTCCGAGCGACGTGCCGATCCCCTGGTGGCCGAGGCAGACGCCCAAGATGGGAATGTCGACCTCCTTGATGAGCTTGGAGTTGAATCCAAAGTCAGACTCTCTCTCTGGTGTTCCTGGGCCCGGAGAAAGAATAATGGCGTCTAGGAATGGCAGCATCTCAGTCTTGAAGGTATCCCTAGGAGGTTCACTCTGTCAGCCCATACACGATCTCTCCCAGGCTAGCAAGCCACTCATACCAATCAAACTGGTCGAAACGAATGATGGCGACGCTCCACTCGGGATAGAGGCCGCCATCTTGGTCAGGCTGAGAGCCTTGGAGCAGTTGGAGGATGTTGTTGGTGTAAGAGTCGTAGTGATCAATGATCAACACCTTCACAGTTCCCATCTTGATGTTTGCGGAGAGGCAAGTAGACAAGTCGGGGATTTGTGAGAGAGCATTCACAACATGCTTAACTCGAAATTCCAGGGCTGTTTTTGAGCTACGTCTGCCCAAATATGTATCCACGAATTCTACCAGCCGCCCTCCTTGCAAGATCCATATCTCTTGATCGGCCCCCAAGGCCCCCTCCTCCAATCTATGGGCTACCGGATTGACGCACGGAGCATGGGGCTGCACGATGAGGCACGATGAGGCACGGCTAATGGAGATGGTGCTGGCCTCGGCCAAGCAACATGCACGCTTACCTTAGGTGCTGGACCTTTCGAATGACGTGACAATGGTCTAAAAGCCTTGATGCCTCATGGCATCGGGCTTCGACGGCTGACCCAGCGGTCCCAGCCTTACGAGGTATGCAAGGCCCAGTGAACCATCTCCGTGCAAGAGCAGTTAGGATGGGAGCCGGCCATCTACCGACGGGTGCAGCTCACGCCGCAAGGGGGTGGCCTAGGGTGTAAGTAAGATGGCGGTTGAAGGTCCGTGGCCAGGTCGTCAGGCGAAAAGAAATGTTGCTGCTTTGGCGCATATGTGTAACCCTATCGGCTTATCCCACATAGTCTTAAAAACTTAGGTACCTGGGTTGACTTCTACAAAAGTTGGAGGACTTGGGGGTCAAGTAAGGGTGGGTGAGATGATGAAATGCTTGGCTCGTCTTGTGCAGTCCCAGGGACCCTGCTCGGCCGAACAAGGGTCTGAATCCTTCTCCTGTCAGAATGCCAGTTGCGCCAAAATAACGTCTTGGTGGGGCCTCAATTGCTATTGGAGCTGGCAACTGGTGTCATTTTCAATGCAACATCTCCTCTCGGACACGGCTTGCCATGGCCGTCACCCGTTCCCGACTTCAACTCCGTATCCCCCATGAAGTGAGAGAAACTGCCGCGCCTAAGTGCTCAAGTCCGGGCTACAGAACAATGCAGCCATCCGACCGAGAGACTGACCGATTCCACTCTTTGCACAGTGACAGTCAAACTGTCGTCCGCCGGCGGAGAGAGCCCTCCAAGCTGCAGGGGCCATGGCGCTGCGCAAACTGCCCCAGGGAGTTTGCTCAGAGTAAGTCAAGTCTTTGTTTTGCCCCGCCACTGTGAGCCCCTCCGTGCAAGTGCACAGCCTTGAGCATTGCCACAGCAGCATCCCTTCTTTATTTGCCCAGCTCACTTCTCAGGTGCTCCCTGGGCCCTGTTGTTGCGGATGCACAAGCTAAGCTGAAACGCCCCCAGAAGAATACAGATACAAACACCAGCAGCGGTGCATCCAGGCGTCGAATCGGCCAAAGCACTCCAAACAAAAGTCGTGCGTCGCTTGTGCTGCGTCGAAGCTCAGATGTGACCTGGGAACGCCGTCTTGCTCTCGGTGCCTCAGCAGAGGTAAACCTTGTCAATACATCTCACTCAGCTCGGCCCAGAAGAGCGGCCCCGACCGTCCGGAGAACCACGTGTTGGGGACAACTAGAGATCTCTATTTGCCGGATATCACAGACGACTTTGGTCGCGTCCGAAGCCAGGCAATATCACTTATTGGGAGTGACAATGCCGCGGATGTAAATACCAGGGACGCCGAAATCGTGGCTGGACTGGAAATTGACTTCAACATGAGAGCATCAACAAACAGCACCCAGCAGGGAGCTGCCAACAACACAAACCCTCAGTCACAGCAGCGGCTTCAGAGGCGCGCCTCAACCCTGCGGGATGCGGCAGAGACCATCACCAACTGGCCAATGGACGCCAATTTCAACGGTGTACAAGTACCGAACCCTAGTGAGACCCCCAAACAGGGCTCCATCACAGGGACCTCTCTGACCAGCCCAGGCGGGCCCTCTCTTACCAGTCCAGGCTGGTCTCGAATACAGCCTTTTGGGGTCGGCGCTGCTGGCAGCCGCGGCGGCAGCTCTTCCAGCCGATGGCATCTAGACAACGACTCATGGGCATCCCGCAGCCCCCTGCTCACCTCTGAAATACATTTCGGTACGGACATGGAGGACGACTTTCTCCGACACACGCCAGCCATGTCTACGAACAACGACATGAACTTTGACCTCCTCGGATCCATGGGGATTCTGAAAAGGCATCGGATAGACACCGCGCAGCTGGTGCAAAGCCCACAGGGCTCAGCGAAAAGCGGTCTCAGCAGCAACGCGGCCGCAGTCAGCTACTTTCAACAGGCCGCCGCCGGCGGGCTGGCACCAGTCGCTGGAACCACTTCCACTGCTCAGAAGGATCAGCACATGGAGGACAAGACACTTCACGATGCGGTCACAAGCACGACGGCTTCCCGGCCCAGCGCCTGGCCCACATCGTGTCCTTTCCACAAGCTGAACAGCGACGATGCTCTCGTCAAGATCATCCGTAGCTACCCAAGAGTCATGGTTCGTCCCGGCTGTTATCCGCCTTTTGTGCATCACAAGCTGTACAGATGCGGTGCCGGAGACATCGCCGAGCCACTCGCCCGGGCATTCTGCTGCGTGGGCGCCTTTTACGCCTCGGTGCCGACCAGCGAGGACTTCGTGTACTCCATGATCAGCGAGGAGAGCAGGCGTCTTGTGCAGAGGTTTGTAAGTTGGCCGTCCCCTGTCGTCTGTGAAGCCACCTCAAATCCCGGCGACATGAACTGACTCGTTGGCCCTTGTGACTAGCACCGGCCCCCCGGCTCGGACAGCGACGTGCTGGCCATGGTCCACGCCATGTGCATCTATCAGATCATCGGCTTCTTTGCAAGCACCAACCCTGAGCATGCGCGAGCCACGGAGCTGCACCACTCATTCTTTCTAAAGATGACGCGTCTTCTCATTCGCCAGTACCTTCAAGATCTCTCGCCAAGCGAAGTCAATCGAGAGATGGCCTGGCGAAAATGGATCGTGAACGAGACCATCCGCAGGACTGTATTCCTCGTCAACGCCATCAACACGCTGTCTTGCAGGGTACAGAAACAAGGTGCCAACTTCTTTGAAGCACTCGACGACGACTTGGTTCGCAACATGGCGCTTCCCGCGTCAGATCAGCTATGGAAAGCCTCGTCGGCGGAGGAGTGGCTGGTCGTGCGCGATCAGCTCGGCCCGGACGAGACGGCAAGCGGCCGGCTGACGGTGCAGCAGGCCATCGATCATTTCTTCGGGCCGATACAGCAGGGCGATAGCAGTAGGTTGAGGATGTCCTACGCACAATTCGCCCAGCTGGACGAGTTTACTCAGTTGGTGGTGGCGACTGCTGGAAACGTGGATCATCAAACTTGAAGTACATGTCAATATTAAACTCGAGATGAAACTATCAATGCATTCATTCCTGACGTCGCTGGCCTCCGTGAAACCCCTTTGTCGATCATGCTCCCAGTGCCGCCACGCTCTTCTCATAGTCATCAAAGATCACAAAGCGCTCGGCGAATCCCTTCCCAGTCCTGGTAATGGCATCCAAATCGTCCAAGTCCCTGAATAAAATGACGTTCTCGGGGTACAGCTTTCCGAGAAGCGCGAGTTTGATGACTGGTTCGGGGGCCGGGATGATGTGAATGGTGCTGGGGCTGCCTTCCTGCGCTCGCGGTGAAGTGACAAGGCCCGGCTGAGACAAGATGTCGGCGGTGCTGTGCACCAGGGCTGTAGAGGGAAAGTGCTTCGCAATGGCCGCGATGCCGGTCCCGTTCGTCTTGCTCCTGGATGTGACTTCGTAGGCGTAACGGCGACCGCGGGCGATCTGGCCGAGGTCGATGGCCACGCATGTCCCCGAGTCGAGGGTCAGTCTGAGCTTGACGATGCGCCGCAGACTGTCGTTGCCACCGTCAATGGCAAAGGAGGACTCGGTCACGGCGGTGCGCGTCCTCAAGAGGGAGCTCAAGTTCCATCCGTCGGCGGGTACTGCCGTCTCTTTTTTGTGCACTTCAGACCGTGGTGCGCTGAAGTAGTCTGGGTGCTCGTAGTCGAAGAGAACCTCTGTCTCGGAGTTGTCGAACCGTGCGGGATGGTATCGGAGGAGATGCAAGGACCGGGATCCGGAGAGGAAAGCGGGCAGGACGAGGCCCTGAGAGTACTGAAAGCCATAGCCGCCTGGTGGGAGCTTCCGCGTCGTAAAGACTTTGGACAGGTTGACGATCGCTGTGTGCTGCACCGAGCCCGTCAGGCAGTGCACGAGAAACAATTTCCGGGGCTCCTCGACGTCGCGTATGCCTTGGGATCCCTCGGGAATGACGAGCGGGACCTCGTCAAAGTTCTCAAATGGCAAGAGGCTGTCGCGCAAAAGGATCATGCGGTGCAGCCACTCGTTATACAGCTCCATCAGCTGCGCGTTGCTTCGGGGCCCCAAAAGCAGCGAGGCTACGGCAGGCGTCCAGAGATGACCTTCGCAGGGGCTTCGGATGCGCAGGCTTGCGTCAGCAGCCGAGGGCCCCGCGGCGTCGTGGACGTATCGGATGAGCGTCTTTGCTACCCGCGTCGCTTGGTATGCAATCTCCCGGCGAGCCGTGTCCTGTGTCGAGTGCGTCAAGGGTAGAGTCGATTCCCGTCCCGTCGTCGCCAGCGAGGCGGCAAGCCCATCAACGAGGACCGACCTAGCAGGGGGGTCGGTGGGAGGGCCCTCGCCGAGCTGAGAAACGATGGCGTTCAGCAGCGGCGAAATACTGACCACCAGTTGGCGCACATTATATACACCCGGCGGAGTCTGTGCTGCGCTGGTCATGCTTGCTTGCAAGGATGGAGAGGACCGTTGGGCAGCGTCACCAACGCCGTTGACATGAAGCCCGGAAGTCGCCAGCGTGGTGTTGTGAGTATACCCGCCAGCAAAACTCCAAGAGGGGACGATCGTGTGGCCGAATGCAAGGCCTGCAAGGTTCGCAAAGCGATATGCTGGTGGCAGGGCGGGAGAAGACGAAAGGGTGGGTACCATGATGGGAGCTGGGGGCCAAAGGCGGGGTTCTCAATGGTAGAAATCAGCTCCCTCAGAGTATGACATGGGCGCCTAAGGGGGTCTAGGCTGGGCTCATATGGCGATTGCGTGAGACGTTTGAGTCGCGGCAGCAACTGAGATAGAGGGGGAGGGGGGCGGGGACGGCGCCGGGAGCGGATTGGGCTTCGCTAGAATAGTGAGAAAAGGCGTTGTGCGCTTTGTTTAAAAGCGGCACACGAATAACAAGTACGGCGCACAAGGGATCGAGAGCTTGGCGGTGAAGGAGTTGTCTCGGACGGGATGAGAAGGCGAGGGCCACAGACCTGGGTGGCTACAGCTATCTCCATTCGTGTACGGTATCCGTGAGTTTGGGTCGGGCAAACCAACAGCAGTTGGAGCACTAGAGGCCATCCATGTCCGACGGCCGTGGCGCTCAGAGAATCGGTATCCTTTAGACTGGGTTTCACGTGCTACGCCGACAAGAGAAGGAGTGCCGACTTGGACCCAGAGGAAAGTTCGTCTACAGTGAAGACGACATTCTCCCACATAATCTCAAACGACGAGCTGATGGGCGATCACATTGTTCGCCGCTGGTACTTTTGCAACATACATTCTTTCAATTTGCTATATCGCGCTCGACTCCTACGAACCCCGTAGCTCCTTTGGTTATTGCCCAACACCACCTCGGAGTTGGACAGCAGCGGCTACAAGGGCTTTCGGGGTTGGATGTCCACACCCTTGTGGACCTTCGGACTTCGGAGACAGATGGCAGTCATGCCTTATTGCGTATGTGGGTCTTCGGAGTTGTGTGGCAGCGCCTACATCCGTACAGCCATCCGACTCGGGGCCGCCACTTTTTCAAAGTCGGACTTGGCACCAACGGATACCTACTACGGTAAGCATGCACCGTGGTGACTAAACCGACCCCGGATCGGGATTGAGCCGAACTGATATGACTTCTTTGGTATCGGCAGGGAAACTGAGTTCTGATTCGTAATGGAGTACCTATTTGGACGCAGAATTTTTGCTGGAAATGTCGTGATTGTGCTTCGCTTGGAGCGGCCATGGCCCATGGCCTCAGTATGAATTTGCATGACACAAAGCAAGTTCAAGCAACGTGTGTCGTGATCTGGAAGATGGACTGAAATGATAGCAACCGGCCACCAAACCTGGGCACGCCGGCTTGTTGGTGCTTCATTTGGTCTACCGCACTCACACCAGCTCTCGTTCCAATTGCCCCTGTCAAGTCCCATTCATGGCTGCGCCATCCTCAGCTGTCATGGCTGCTACGAGCTCGACCTCGCTGCCCCCATTCTCTGGCACCGAAGGCGCTTACATGCTTCCTCATCATATCAAGGAGATAGAGCGCCTTCGCCGCCAGCATGAATTCATGAACACGACCACAGGAGGCCAGCTACTGGTTCCTCAAGTCATTCCCCAGCAGCGTTCACTGCGTGTTCTTGACTCTGGAGCAGCTGATGGTTCGCTTAATCCCTTCCCACTCTGAAGTTGTTCAGATTCGACTGACGAGGCGATAGGATTCTGGCTGCGCGACCTGCCGCGCCAACTGCCGTCGAAAGACCTGGCTCTCTTTGGCGTAGACATCGGTTCTTCCTTGTTCCCTGCCCCAGGCGCAGCATCTTCAGGGACGCAGCCAGAACTCCGCAGTCATGACATTCGCACCCCATTCCCCGAGTCTTGGGGCTGGACGGGCACCTTTGACGTTGTTCACCAGCGTCTTCTCATTTGGGGCATCAAGGCCTCCGAATGGTCCGTTGTGATCTCGAATCTTGTCAACGTTCTGAAGCCGGGTGGCTACATTCAACTCGTGGAGGCTGAGTGGATTGACCCGGCAAATCCTGCCTCCGAATTGACTCGGCCAGAGTTGGCTAAGCAGGCAGCACTGCAGAGGTGGTCTACCGAGAGCTTTGGCATGGACATAGACATTGCCTATAAGCTGGAGAAGCTCCTCAGCGACGCCGGGCTCGAGGATGTCGGGGTCATTCAGTTTGACCACGGGTACGGCGCACTGGCCAAAGCCGAAAGTCAGAAGAACGTTTCTGCCGAGCTCTGGGTGGAATGTTTCAGGACGCTGGACGAAAAGATACCAAGTGAGTTTGACGACAACTGAGTGTCTTCATAGAATTATCACTAACTAACACTATCAATTCACACCTCAGGCGGCGGCATCCCAGGTGTAGCTGCCAATGCTCGCGAATTTCACGAGTTTCTGGACCGGTTGGAAGTTGAGATCAAAACGTACGGATACCAGCCCAAGCTCAACTTTGTGTATGGCCGCAAACCACTGCAGTAGTTAGGTCCAGGCTCTATAGAAGACAGATTCAACGAGTTTTGTTTTCATGTCGTGAGGTATCCGGTGTGCTCAAATGACTTGGTGTCTTTTGACGCTCTAAGGCTGCTAAAGAAAGCCTCGGCTTTGTGTTCTTAGCAAACCATAGACACCAGAAATTCATAGAAGCTATCAACTCAAACTCTAAGGGATATAGGCGAGACATTGACACTGGATACTGGTTCTTAGGGGCACGTCCTTGATTGCACACCGGAGATGAGCACATTTCAGTCCATTCACAACAACTCCCAGGTGCTGAAGACGCAGACACAACAAGGCTCGAACACCATTTGAGATTTGCCCAACATCGAAACAAGTGTTGATCTGTTACGGAAATGCAAGTTTATCAAGACCAATTCGGCTCGGGATGATCACTATCTCGTGTTCTCAGCGTCTCGCCGCCCTCACAAAACTCGAAAACTGTTCTATCAACCAAATGGCCTGATCTCGTGAGAGCCTTGGATCGCAGAGAGACTGGTACCGTCTGCCAAAATACTCATCGTTGTCGCCCATGACAGTCTCATCGAGACACTCGGTGACGTTGTCACCGGTCTGTTCGATGTGAACCCCTCCAAGGAAGCTTCCACAAGCCTGATGAACCGTGTACGTTTCCTGCAACTCGGCGAGCATATCCTGCACCCGGCGAGTTTTGATACCGGATGGCGTGGAGAAGGTATTTCCGTGGCAGGGGTCGCTCATCCAGAGAGGAATGTGCCCACTCCGCCTGACAGCGTCGATGATGGGCGGCAGGACTGTAGGCGCGCGGCCGCGGCCGATCCGAGTAATCAAAGTGACCTTCCCCACGGCCGCTCGATCGGCCAAGACATTGAGAAGAGCAACGACGTCTTCCGGGGTCGCGTTCGGGCCGATCTTGACCCCGACCGGGTTTCGCAAGCCCCGAGCATACTCGACGTGCGCACCGTCGAGCTGTCGTGTGCGCTCACCAAGCCATATCGTCGAGGCCGAGAGATTGTAGCGGTTGTGCGTGAGAGACGCCTCGTAAGGCAAATTCAAAGCCTCGTGAGACGTGAACAGGCTGAACTCGACCTGCTTCCCGTCGGATGCATGCGAAGTGAGGGGCAAGGGCATCCTTCTGAGCATGCTCTGCGCTGCCGCCGAGTACATGTACCCCAGAAGCAGACGTCGGTGGTCTGGTTCGCGCTCTGACGGGTCTTCTGAGTTGACGTTGTGGCCCCTAAATGCGTGCACCACTTCACCAGTCGGGAGCGTCTCGAGCAGATTGGACCGCGGTTTGGCGAATTGGCCGGCAATCCGTCCGATGGCGGTGGTAGGAACCTGCAGAGATTCCTCGAGAATTCGGCTTTGGGTGTAGAGGAGATCGACTTTTCGCTTCACAGTGTCCCACTTGACATCGGCGAAGCTCTCGGCGCAGTCACCACCTTGTATGATGAAACCTGAGCCCAAAGCAGCGTGGTACAGCCGCTCACGGAGTTGATCAACCTCCCAGTCGCCGACAAGCGGAGGCAGTTCCCTCAACAAGGAACAGGTCTGTCGCAAGCCGTCAATGTCGGCATATTGAACTGCCTGCGCAGCGACCTTGGATTTCCACGAATCTGCGGTCCATGGTGAAGAGCCGACCTCTTCTCGAAAGATAATTTCTTTGGTCGTAATGCTGACGTTATAACGACTCTTGGCCTCTGCTGTCGCCATGATGGAGATTCTCGCGCTTGCGGTGCTCTATATTCTTCATTAGAACTAGCCTTCTAAGCGATGTTCGTCGTAGACCCCGTGTGGGCTGGGGCGGGCGGGGGGGGGGACCCAACTGGCTGTGATTGTGTTCGCATGCCTGGCGGTGACTATGTAGGACGGGGCAGTATTTTCTTCTGTGGGATAGATAGATGGACAGAGCAGCGAGGAAACTTCCGTTCACACGTATGAAGCCTCTCCTGGGCACTCAGATACTTGCTAACAACTGAAAGAGGGCAATGGCTTTAAAGTGATGACTTTGTGAAACCATGGACCCCCGCGTCCAGCATTCGGGTGGTCGCAGCAGGGTCTCAACTGAGTTTACAATAAGGGAACTCTTTCGCTTGCCATTGAGTGGCGCTACCTCCAGACCTGCCGTCATCCCTCGGCCAAATGCAGAGGCAGGACGTTCGATACGGATCCGGTCTCTTTCCTTGGTACCTAGCTCAATAGGGAGCTTTCATCATCAGCCCAAAGATGGTGAAAACGATCGAGAGCCATTCTGCGCCGAACTGATAGCCTCCATGAGCCTCCATGTGACGATCCAGTATTGGAGAGCTAGACTTCGTGTTGTAGCCCAGGTAACTCCGAGAACTCGTCCAGCTGCAGCGAGATGCTGGATCCGATAGCGTTATAGACGCCATGCTCCGAATATTCATCTAAGCATAACAAGCAGGGGTACAAGAAGGTACATTGGACCTCGAGGGAAGCCCCATCCTTCGACTTGCAGCCCACCGCGCCGGTCCGCCAATCTCAGATCTGTTGATGCAAGACGATCCTTGCCTTTTTTAGGGTTCCGGAGTTGCATGGGGATGGCTAATTCTTAGCTTTGGGGTTTGTCAGACCGGCGTTGTCGTTGCCGACCCCGGAGCTTGAAGGTTAGCTCTGCATTGTGGCTGCACATGCATGTTTACGCTGCTCTCGATACTACCACATGCGGCACCTTCAGGCCCGCACGGGAGAAATCAGAGGCAAACGATGTGGCAGGCTGCATTGCTCGCAAGTCACGCAAGCCGAGTTACCCTGGCCGGACCAATCTATCCGAACGGCACATCGACGCCCTTCAGGTTCATGACGTTGATTGGTTCTTTGGATGTAAGGACATGAAACGCTAAACGGGATTCTCTTCATCCAACACTGGCAGCTCATAAGACAGGAGCGCACATTCAGTTATCAACAAGTCGCGATTTCGTTTACCTAAGGTACCCTACATAGTAGCTATCAGGACCTAGTGAAACCCCCCCAACCCTCCGCGACAGGTCCCCCATGTCCGTGTTCAGGGGTCCGATTGACTCCGACTAGCGTCATCTCCCGTCTCTTACAGCACCTTGGTGAGCAGCGCCGGCACGGCAGCAACGGTCTCGGGGGCGTGCCGCTGCATGTCATCGGTCCATGTAGTCGTGTTCTGGCCGTTTTTGTGCAGGTATGCCAAGCGCTCGACGACATGCTGTCCGGCGTAGACAGGGCTGTACTTCTTGGGCGCCGCTTCTGTGCAGCATGCATCAAGGGGCTCCACGAGCGCGTCCCGGTTGGGATGACCAAACCAGGCGATGGCGTAGCGGGCTGGGATGACCTCCGGAATGCTGTCATCCTCGTCCGGCTGAGGCTCGGGCTCCACGACACGATGTTCTGTGGACAGGAGCCTGTCGTTGAACCAGCGCGCGAGGAGATCGCCGACGTTGATGATGGCGCAGCCGGGGATGGGCGGCGCTTCAATGTAGGTCCCATCCGTTCGACGGACCTGCAACCCCCCACTATTGTCATTGAAGAGGAGGGTGAGGGTGCCGTAGTCGGTGTGCGCCGATGCGCGCAGCCGGTTCCGAAGCCCAGCCCGCGTTGTCTCCGGGTAGTAGATGACGCGGAAAAAGTGATCTCTTGCATCCACATGCGGCTCGAAGAAGTTTTCGTCGATGCCCACTTGCTGCGCGAGGACGCGGAGGAGCACGAGGTGCACCTGGTGGCACTTCTCGAAGAAAGAGTTCATGTCCTCGCGGAACTCGGGCCAATTCTCGGGCCATTGGTTGGGCCTTGTGGGATCGTTCTCCTTTCCGATGTCGAAGGCTTCCTTGAGATCAGACGTGTGCTTGTTGCCAGAAGTGCGAGCAGGAGAGAACCAGCCGTGGAACCCCTTGGACTCTCCTGTTTCGACTTTGGCCTTCTCGGATTCTGGCAAGGCAAAGAACCTCTTAGCATGTTCAAAGAGTTTGTTTTGCTCCTCGATAGGGATCGAGTGGTTCGCAAGGTACACGAAGCCGACGTCCACGAAGGCCTGGTAAAGCTTGCGCTTCTCTTCTTCGCTGGCTTTGTCTGCGCCGATGATCTTGGCGTAATCGATGATAGGAAGACTTGGAGCCATCGTTGCGGACTGTTTCTGGGACTTGAATTGAAGGTTGCCGAGAGAGACAAATCGTTGGGATATTTGAGATATGCGCAATGAGAAATGTAGGAAAATCGATCGCCAGAAAACTCGTCAGGATATCACTGGAATCACTTCACTTGTCGTATCTCTAAAATAAAATATGTAGCATTATGAGACCAATGGTTTTGCTCCTCGGAATCCTGAGCTCCCAGGTCATGAGCACCGGCGGGGTGGCGTGTGGGTTGCGTTGCGTCGGAAACGGCGTCCCGAAGCAAGCCCCGAAGCCAGGCATCAGTCCCCGAGAGGATCCGATCTACATCTCACATTCATCAACCAAAGTCCGACAGCGAAAAAAAAGTATCATTGTAATTGCGTGCTCAGCGAATTCTTTAGAGGTCGGGGAGGGTGGGGAAGGAAGGGGGGAAGAGGTGGGAAATGCTCAACATGCATCTTACCGGACGTACCTAAGGTATTGCGTGATCCCCGTCCTGGATGAAGACATCCTGATTGGAACGAGACTTATTCAAACGTGAGCGAAGGCTTGCATCTAAGTTCTTGGTCGCAGGATTATATGACGGTAAAATAAATATGAGGGTGTCCTGGTGTTTCATGTTTGATACGAGCAATCGCCACAGACAAGCACCCAGCCAGCAGTGCCCGAACTATTATCACCATGGTCTTCGAATCCAAGCTTCCCAAAGTTGACGCTCCTTCCACGGACGTCTTCAACTTCATTTTCGAGAAGGGTCGGGACAATTATCCGAGAGACAGAGTCCTGTACCGCGTCCACGAAACGGGAGAGACCTTGACTCTCGATGAACTCGAAACACAAAGTCGCCGGCTGGCTTCTGTCCTGGTGAAGAAGTATGGCATCAGGCCAGACGATGTCATTGCCTTCTTGGCCAACAACTCGGTATGCCCGTCGCATGATCTGGTGGAACGAATAAACAGCTGATGGAAGTCAACCAGATCAATTACCCTATTGCTTTTTTTGCGGCGCTAGCTGCCGGTGCCACCATCTCTCCGATTCCCGTGCAGCAGGGTCTCGATGCTCAAGCCGTCATTCCGAGGCTCGAACAGGCCCAAGCGAAGCTCATCATCACGGACGAGGCCTTGGCCCCCATATCCCAAGCGGCCGCAGCAGGATACAACGACATCCCGCTCATCAGCCTCACGGCTGGACTCGGCAATGCTCCAGTTGCCTCAGTCAGTGACCTCCTGGCCGGGGAAGATGAACAGTTCCGGGGCTTCCGGTTGTCGACCAGAGAAGAGACAGAGGAACATTATGCCTTCATCTATCGCACCAGCGGGTCTTCAGGCAACGTCAAGTCCTTCTTGACCACTCACGCTCACTGGGCTGCGAATCTCTTGACGACGAAACTGACGGTTCCTTCCGACACCAGCCCCGACAAGGATGTTTGGATTTCGTCTCTGCCCTTTGCCTACGGCATCAACGCAAAGCTGAACCTGGGCCTGAACGTCCTTCTTGGCATCCCGGTCATCATCCTTCAGCAGCCTTTCGATCAATCCACGTTCCACGTCATCGACACCTATGGCATTACCTTCCTGTTCGTGACACCGCCGTTGGCGGCACAGATCGCGAAGGCAGAGAAAAAAGAGGGCACTACGTTTTCTTCCATCAAGTGGCTGCTGTCTGCTGGCGCGCCTGTGCACACCAAGATTCGGGACGCCGTTCGAGACAAGTTCAACGGCGTTCCGTTGACTTTGGAATGGGGAACGACGGAAACCCTGCTCATAGCACTTCAGATCGACGACGCCTCGAGGGTGCCTGGCTCGAGCGGAACGCTAGTCCATGGATTACAGGCCCGTGTGCTGGACATTGAGACGGGCAAAGACCTCGGCCCCAACGAGCAGGGGGAGATTCTCGTCCGCAACACGCTCGCCAAGTTCGCGGGGTACAAGGATAACGATGCTGCCAACAAGGATTTTGACTCGGAAGGGTGGTTCCGGACTGGAGATGTCGGGTATCTCGACGAGAACTCCAACGTCTTCATCGTCGACCGTCTCAAGGAGCTGCTCCGCGTCGGCGACGGTTATGGCACCCACGCGTCGGCCGATGAGTTCGAGGCCGTTCTCTTTGATCACCCGGCCGTGTCTACCGCCGTGGTCGTCGGTATTCGGGACCAGGAAACCCAGCAAGAGCATCCCACTGCCTTTGTTGTCTTGCAGCCCGGAGCAGTTCCCGGGACTGCATCGGCCGATGCATTCGAGCGCTTGGCCGAGGAATTGGAGAGGTACACGGAGTCAAAGCTGGGCAAGTTTAAGAGGCTGTCTGGCGGAGTGTGGTTCGTAGAGAAGTATCCGTACGTCGGTTATAAGATCAACAAACGGAGGCTCAAGGAGCTCGTCGACGTCAGTCAGCTGAACACTACGCCCCGGTGGATTGGAGCTGCAGCATGACAGCTGAGAGGTGCCCTGCTTTCCCCAATCTCAGAGTCATGTCAGCGATCATCGTCTTCATATTATTCCCCAATTTCAATCAGCTTATCATGGTGCATCCGATATTTGGCGGAAGTAAGGTAGTATGTCTTTTCGTGACAAACTTGGCTCCTTCCGATGTGTGTGGTCAGCCATGGCAACATCTGAGACGCAGAGGCGAGTAATAGGATGTGCCATGAATGCATGAGGGGTTGGGCTTCCGTATATTTATCCGTCGCTGTTACATATCCCTTCTTGTTTGGGAGCGTGTTGAGCGAGGGATTGAATGTCTCTGCGCACACCAGCGGTGTTGAGATCATCATGCCGAACGTCTGCATGGCACAATCGACTATGGACGTAACGCTTGTTGCACCGAAGACATCGATTTTCACTTGAGTGACTTTGAATTTGAGCACGGTTTGGAGGTCAACCTTCAGCAGCAACTTGAAGCCCCGAGGGTCTAGGATGTGATCAGACTCCGTCTTAGATGCAGAGAATCTTGGAAGATCACTAAGATTGTTAACTTACAAGATTGGGCGCGCCAGCCCTCTCTTCGGACCGAAGGCATCAGATGGATGGGGGATGATGGGCCGACATGATGCTCCATGCAAATGCTTTGGGAAGTGAGCGCGCGCAAATTTCTCGATCTGGAATACACACTTGGCATCACCACCCGATCAACGGTGGCACCAGTTGGCAAGGCGGCAAGACAGTCAGTCGTCTATAAAACAGAACTTGGCACCACCTGATCAGCACTGGAAGATGATAAAAGTCATCCCCCGGCTTTTCGTTCAATGCCACTACTGCTCAGGAATCTGCAGTTTTGACGAAGCACTAGAACACCACGCGAACATCATGCTGATCGTCGCCGTGGCAGGCGGTACGGGCCATCTTGGTCTGACCATTGTCGAAGTCTTCGAGGAAATTCGAGATACCGAATGGTAGTGCTGTCCCGCAAGGTTCGTGGTATCCTCCCTCACAGCATGCGCACTGCTGATATGACATTGTGATTTTGGACGAGACACTGGCATTGGCCGACCTCGTTGCACACCTACAGCTACCAAACAACCAGCGAACCATCACAGTCCCCACGCTTGAAGTCGACTACGCAGACGTCGACGCAACAGCCGTCTCCTGGACAGCAACAGCGTGAACACCATCATCTCAGCCCTCAACCTGAAGACAGCCGATGGCAGCGCCTCGAGCTCCAGCTCGTCGCCGCAGCAGCCCAGTCCAGCACCACGAAGCGGTTCATGGGGAGCGATTGGGCGATACCATACCCTCTGACCCGTACGTCACATATCCCCATCCTCAAGCAACCTCTTAAGAACCCCGTGACCTCCTCATTAACCTTGCCATTGAACTCTAACCATTTTGCCCAACCCGCCTCGCCAGAGCACTCTAACTCCCCCAAGACGCCTTCCGCATCTTCACCCTCTCCGCCCTGCGCGCCACAGAATTTGAATGGACATGCCTCCACGTCGGGCAGATAGCGGACTACCTAGGCACGCCGCACCTTCCCGGCCACATGAGGTGTGTACGCGCTGCATGTCGACGTCGCGCACGGCGCCGCGTCGCTCCCTGGGACTGGCCACAATCCCGTCTCATTTACGTACAGTCGGGACGTGGCACGGTTTGTCATGGAGGCACTGGGAATGGGGGGTGGAAGGGGGAGATGATTTGTTTTAGTGACGTGCGCATTTTGAATGAGGGTGGTGAGACTTACTGAGGAGACTAGGGGTGAGTTTTTCATTCCGCTGCCTTTCGTCGATCTGCGATTTATAGTGTTGACTTAAGATTGGCTGACGAGGGTGGTTTGTGATCGACAGGGCTCAAGTTAACCGTTGCGTATGAAACCGTGGGGATATCCGCTCGAAAGAAGTCATCCGCTCGAAAGAAGTCAGATGATGGAGTTTCCAGCACACGAGAATCGGTATCCTGTGGTTGGAAAGGAGGCGCTGCGGAAAAGGGTCGCGACGTTCGGGCTGTATACCGTCAAGGGCATGCTGTGCCTGCCGGAGGACGGGAGCCTCAATTGCATGTTCCCGCACCTCAAGAAGATAAGTGACGCGCACATTCTTGGCTTTTGGAAAAGGGGTTAGACCGGGCTGGCTAAGGCAGGTCAGGACCGAGTAGGTGCAGGATGTATCCTTGGAAGCCAGAACCCCGTAGGCAGGAGGTGTAAAACTTGCTCCAACGCTTTCGTCTTCCAGATCCAACGAGGAGGGACGGCGAACCCAACACCCCCAAGCAAGCCGCTATATCCCAGCTGCTTACCCGCGGTTCACTCCAAACGGCTTTTACCATCTTATTCACTTCGCGTAAGCTGTCCAACAGCTAGGATTCTCCAGTCCGAGAAACGATAGCCCCAATGGACACGCGTGCCTCTCCAGGCTCAGCTGCACACCTGCAACGCAGAGAGGCCACGCAACAGCCCCAAGCTTAGCGCGAGAATTGACAATGGCCAGAAACCTCAGAACCTGAGCTGCATCTTTTCTCACCCCCGACTCGCCGGGAGACCACCCGTTGACAGTCCCGGAGAGGTAGATGCTAGTGGCCCAGGTCCAGATGCGGGTTGGCAAGAGGCTCTGGAACGTGCTGCTGGCGAATTCACGTAGAGGACGGTGTGCTTCGTCGTCCTCGGCCTCTTTGTTGAAACTCCAAAACCCGCGTGTTAGCCATTCGGACAGGTCCTCGCGCGCTCGATCATCTCCGCCTTCAAGAACGTACCGGCAGCTCGGTTTGCGATTTCGCCCAACTCGGAGAGGGCGGCAATGCGTCTCATGGCGCGCAACACGCAATTTCTACCACCAATGACGGATGATAGACCGAGAGGCCCGTTTAGTTCTCCGACTCGGTCTTGGTAGGAAGCGGTCGTGGTAGGCGCGTAGTCGTGGTGCTTCTTTGTAGTGCCACGACAGAAAGGATGCCAAGGATTAGGAGAATAGATGTGACGAAGCGAAAGGCGGCTTGATCTATGTTCCATAGCTGTCGGGAGCCGAAAATTGGAAATGACGGCGTTAGCCATACCATGTAAGCTGGATCTACGAGAGCCCATCTTCTGTGGTGTTCTCCCCGGAGCCATGCACACATCAATTTCTCAAAGAGCGCAAGAGCCGGGGTGAGATGCGGCTGCAATGCCGCGGAAGACGCACCGCCGACAAACAGCTCGAATACCAAGAGCTGGATAATGGTCTCCATCATATGCACCTTATCCAACAGGCTTGCGGCGCTGCCCGGGGCAGTGACAGCTGATAGATCCTTCCGGGCCATCTTGAAAGACTTCTCGACCTGATCCCCCCACCTGCTTCCACACGATTGACTTGCAGGTTCCTCAATCCGGATACCGCGCTTTGAGTCCCACGGTGACGGAGAAGGAGCTGAGACTCAGCACGGAATGGGAGACTGCGAGGTTGAGTGCTGCGAAGGAGGATCCATGCCCGACTGGTGGCCAGCAAAGAGGTCGGTAGAACGAGAAAAGAAAAGGCGTCACACGTGGTCTATGTATGCCATGGTCGCATCCGGCTCCCGGGACCGACCAAATGCTAGGCCTGGAGAAGCGCGCAACGACCTGGAGTATTGCGGTGGAATCCTGGCTGCAGTTCATGCTGTGTCCCGTGCAGCAGCGCCTGCGAGCTGGCTGGGCAAGACGACAACAAACCGGGTCTGCGTCTGTCGGCTGCTCCTTGCGCCCTCCTATATCTGCGAGGAGACCAGCTGCGCCATCTGCCGTTCTATAGGCCAGCCGTCCATCCAGCCCCGTTTGAAAACGTCCGTTACGGCATTTTATGTCGAGAGAAGTGCGTGCTGTGCAGGCGGGCTGGGCGCCGTCGCATCTCTTCCTCCAAAGCCGACATGTCCAGCATGGACGTTGTTGCGGACCGGACCGACCAGACATTGTGACATATTGTTGGTTTCAGAAGCTAGTTACACCATGGATGAATCTGAAGCTGGTCGTGGAAGGTGGCTTTATGAGTAGGGATGGTGGTTGGCAAACAAAACCTTGGCAAAAGATCATAAGTAGTGGATTCGGTAAGGAAAGGTTCAGGTATTTGAAGTAGCAATTCTGACCCTGTTCTTGAGTAGTAGATGCTGTACTCAGTGTTATATCAACTCAGAAGTCAGAGCTACCATCAATGGGCTGAAGCGTTCGACACTTTAATGGGGTGGTTGGCAAAGGAGAAGTGGGTGATGGCCACTCATATCTGGTGCTCATGGAGATTCTCCCATCCTCCCGTCACCCTGTGAGAATAAGGATATCACCACGCAACCCCGCTCGCCATCGTCCTGCAGTACCTGGACAAGACCAGCATTCAGTGGCCGTTACTAATCAACTTAGGGCTTAGGATATAAACCTAATAAGATGGATATCTGCAACCAGCAACTCAACTCGGCCTGCCTCCAACTCTCAGATCTAAGGGTAGGGGATTTATAGAGTGAGTAAGCTGTCAATGGCTTAGGATAACCAGTGAACTATATACAAAGAATGCCCCCGCTGGAACTTGCACAGCCGGGAGGGGGCACCAGCCCGGTGAAGCCCATGGCAGCGGCCAGATTCCTAGGGGTCTGGCTGGACTGGAAACTCAACTGGAAGGCGCATCTAGGAGCGGTAGAGCGGAAGCTGAAAACACAGAGCTACGCTTTGTCAAGGATTACGGCGAAAACATGGGGCCTAGGACTAGCCAAAGCACGAGAGGTATACTCAAAGTGCATCCGGTCAGCGCTAGCGTACGGCGCAACATCCTTCACACCCCCACCGAGAAGGAGGGTGAGCCAGCAACGAGAGGGATCACCAGGGCGCTTGGAAAGATTCAAACAAGAGTCTACGGATAGTGGCAGGAGCCTTCAAGTCCACACCCACTCGGAACCTTGAAACGGAGACATGGGTGCCGCCACTGGACCTTTACTTCAACAAACGACTGGCTGACTTTGAGGCCCGGCTTCAAATGCCCACTCTGGCCGACGGCCGAGGCGGAAAGACTACTGCAGGGAGTATTGTTGATGCGGCCTGCGGCAAGATATATCAGATATTCAACTCGAGGACGGATAACAGGGGCCGACCGCGAGCCTTTGGGCCGCAGGAGCCCACAGCG